CTATGACAAACTTAAGTGGGGTTCATTGTTAATACCTTTTAGAAAATTGGTCTTGATTCCAATTTAGTGGACCTTAAATATCAGTGCATCTCTTCTATTTCTATGTCTATAAACTGGCATAATTCCCTTACCCAATCCTTTAGTCCAGGTAAAGGCATTAGGTAAAGAGATCCGCTATCTCCCTATATTTTTATGCTTTACTTAGAAAGGTTGACCCATTTAATCAAGGATAGAATTACAGGCAGGAATGGCTCCCTTTTTCATTTATTAATACTGATCCTACTATCTCTCACTTGTTTTTTGCTGATGATATTATTTTGGTAGCTAAAGTTGACTTGCAGCAAGCCAATTTAATTCAGTGTCCTAAAAACTTCCTGCTTAGCTTCTGGATTCTTAGTGAATAATAAGAAATCTTCTTTGTTTTTCTCTAAAAACACTGATCTAGTTATGTCTAAGGATATTAGTAACTGTTTTTGTTTTAAACTTTCGAAGGAGTTTGAAAATCATCTTGGTATCTCCATTAGGGATCACAAGTCAAACAAGAAAGATTTTGCTTTTATTATAGACAAAATTAGGAAAAAACTTACTTTATGGAAGATGAATTCTCTGTCCCAAGTTGGGAGAGTCACTTTGGCTCAGTCCTGTTTGCAGTCCACCACTTCCTATATTATGCAAGCTATTCCTATCCCTAACTTTATTTGTAAGGAAATCAACAATATTTGAAGGAATTTCATTTAGGGTTCTCTTAGTAAGAGGAAATGTCGTTTGATTAATTGGAAAATAATATGTCAACCTAAGGCTGAGTGGGGTTAGGATTTAGGGATCTTTCTTTTTAAAACAAAACATATATGATGAAGTTACTTTAGAAATTAGTTAAATCTCCTAATGAGCTATGGGCCCAAGTATTATACAAAAAATATAAATTTAACATTCATAAAAAATTAATTTCTGGAAATAATCTAAAGGTCTCCCATTTATGGAAAAATTTAGCTGTTGTCTGGGAACCCTTTATGCAGGGTTTGAGTTGGATCATTAGAGATGGCCTTTTAGTCAAATTTTGGAAGGATAACTGGATTCTTAATATATAAAAATTATCTACTTATGCTGAGAGCCCTATCCTTGAGGAAGAGATGGGCATCCTTGTGGCTTTCTTCTCTGATCAGGGAGAATGAGATTGGTGTAGGATCAAGAAAAACCTGCTCATCTCTATTTATGAGGACATTGCTCAAGTTAAACTCTTTGACAAGAATAAAGGACAGGACCTTGCATTTTGGAATTCCTCTAGCAATGACATTTTCTCTTTAAAAACTGTTTATGACTTGTTTAAACCTTCTACCTAACATCCTTATTTGAATCATAATATCTTTAAAGTTGTTTGGAAATGGGATGGACCTCCTAGGGTTGCTGTATTTTTATGGAAGGTAGCACATGACAAGTTGTTAACTAATGAGGAAAGGTGTATAAGAAATATGACTGGCTCTCCTCTTTGTCCTAGATGTGATTCTGACCAAGAATCTATAATTCATGTACTTAAAGACTGTTGGTTTACCAAACAAATTTGAGAATTTTTTATTATATCTAAAATTTGGGCATACTTCTTTAGTATGGGTCTATCTGACTGACTTCTGAATAATTTATCTAATTCTTAGTGGAATAATGTTTTATGTTGGAATAGGTTGTTTGGTTTGATTATCTGGTATTTATGGAAGGAAAGGAACTGCATTTTCCAAAGCTATGTAACTACTCCTAGTGCTTTATATCATAAAATTTGCTATGAATTTGATTACTTAAATTGTTATTATAGAGGTAAGGTGAAAGCTCTTAAGAAGTTGCAAGAAAATTCTATTTAGAATATATGGTATCCTACTCCCTAAGGTCATTTGAGGCTAAATGTTGATGGAGCTATATCATAAGCCATGGGAAATGCTGGATGTGGAGGATTAATTAGAGATAGTGATGAAAAATTCACTGCTGGTTTCTACAGAGGCGCCTTGTACCCTTTCAAAAGTTGAATTATGAGATTTGTTCTATGGGCTGCAGTTGGTAACTCAGAAGTAAATCCAAATAATTTGGATTGAATGAGATTCTAAAGATTTTGTAAAATTGGTGTTGAACATTCGTAGTTGTAACCAGCTATTTTTCAATTTGATTATTACTATTAGAAATATTTTGAAATATATTCTTTTTATTAGAATCAACCATATTTCTAGAGAAGGCAATAAATATGCTAATGGATTAGCTAAATTAAGTCTTGAGATTATTATAAATACTATTTATGTTGGTAAATGTCCTTTTCTCTAACTTTCTTTTTAAGTTTGAATTCTTTTGATATTTGTAATTTTATAATAGGAGGTTAGTTTTGTTTTATTGGCTGTGTAGTCCCTCTTAGTAACAAAAAATAAATAAATAAATAAATAAATTAAAGTTAAAATATAAAATAATAATTAAATTATTTCTATATTAACTAATTTTAAACTTTATACATAAATGAACTATAAAATATTATAAAAAAAATATACCAATCAATTTTTTCATTATACTTTAAATAAAATATTATTTTAAAGTAGGTTAATATAAAGAATTGATTTTTGTATTAACTGATATATTATATATGTTATGATCATAATTTATTTAAATAAAATTTATAATGAAATAATAATTTTTAATTTTACAATGTTTTTTATATATAAATTTTTGTTAGATACTGATCAAATCATTAAGATGAGCTATATGAAGTATAGAAAAGAAAAAGGTGAGAGCGATGACTAAAAGTTTGTGATTTAATTAGTAGGGGAACAAAAATTATTATTAAATATAAAGATAAGATAAATTGATATTAAGGGAGTATTAAATTTATTTAATTTTATTGTTAACATATAATATTATTTAAATAATTATATATATGTATACATATCCAATTTTATACTCTTTATAAATATGTAGATAATATAAATATCCTTACGTTTTAATGATTATCTCTATTTTTATTGATCACTTATCTGAGAATAGAAACAGAGACATTAAGAAACTATTATTGTATTATTTAAATATTTTAATAATAGAATAAATAATGGATTTCACTTTATATCTGAAATTTTTAAAAGAATAAAATACAATGATTATGTTTTAACTTAAATAATAAATTATAGTATCAATTTGTTTTATTTTATTTTATTTATTTATTTTTATGTGTTCAAGCATGGCGTAAAGTCCCACGGCTTCTGTGTTGTCAGTTCAATTCCCTTAGGCGACGTCAAACATGAAAGCACAAGTTTGCACCAAGCCAAATGCTCAAGTAAGGTACAGCCTTCAGCCTTACCATGTCCCCCTTCTACCCAACAAAAACTCAAATAAAATAAACGAATAAAAAGTTTATTTGTCTTTTGTTTTTAAAAATTATTTTTTTAAAAGTGATAAGATTAATCTTTCATAATTGTTTTAATTCTTTTTAAGTTTTTAAAATTAAACAAATTTTTATTTGACGATTTTGAACTTCTATTTTCAATTTTATTTATTTTTCTTTAATTTTTAGATACTCTTCTAAAAATTAAAAATTGTTTTATAAAATATTTTTTTTAAATAACACACCTAAAAATACACTCCTCGTTTTATTAGCACTATTCCGTTCTCCATTATCCAGCACTTGAAGTTTTGCATCAAACACACACGAAATTTTCATGTGTGAATGATTTCCACATAGGCGATGTTTTCCTTCTCTTGGAGGACGACCTCTGAAGCGGATTACGACTAAAGGCTTGTTTGTTTATTTTTATAAACAAAGATTACTCAATTACTTTGACCAAAAGGTTTTTATAATGATTTTTTTTCTCGATTTAAAATAACTGTCATACAAACAAACAAACACTCTTGGCACACCGTCATAAGATAGACTTCTCCGATCAAACTTTTGATGTCATCCTTAAGTAGATGTAATATCCGCTATCGTGATCGTCCTTCATCAAACATACAAAACTTTATTTCGTTGCATCAGGGTCTCTGGAAATATTATGTAGTTAAGTTTAAATTAATTTTCACTATAAATTTTATATTAAGCTGTATTGTTTGTTTGTCATCAATTAAATGTGTATTGTAAAACAGAGAAATTAATTATGAATATTTGGCAAAGGGACACTTGGAGTTGGCCCAGCTAGCTCATAGACTTAACAGGCAGGGCCAAGAACCACCTCAGTGCAACAGCTTTTAGGATAAGCGAGAATGCAACACACACACACAATGCAATGGAATATATTATAATAGAAAATCACAAAATAATATAATAAATCACCAAAATTTTGTGGGGTAACGAATTAAAGAGAAATTTATGGAACGAAATAAATTATTTAAAAAAAAATAATCTTTAATGATATGGTTGTAAAATTGAGATAACGATTCAAGATTTAAACTTTTAAACAAATTAAAACTGACATTGAGTAACAACATTTGAAAGGAATAACAAAATTATAAATAAAAAAGTAAAATTAAATGATCATTATACTATAAGTCATGTCACTTATTAAAGATAAAAGAATTCTTACAAATATTATCACTAAAGAATAAGGACACAAATTTATAATATGTTTTTTTAAATGTTATTTCTTAAACTTAATTTAGAATTTAAATTTTAAAATTTTTTATATTATTTTAAATTGAAAATAAACATTTTTGTATAATAAAGATAACATGTTTTAATTTTAATTAATCATTTTATTCCATAATATTTATACATTCTTTTGCTATGTAATTTTTTTCTATTTAATGCAATAGAAATAATTATCATTATTAATAAAAACATTTCTTACTTTTTAAAATTTATTTTCATCTGTAAATTTTGTTTAAATGTGAAAATGTCCATATATTCAGAGGAAGATTACTAGTTTTAAAATCTGAGATGAATTTGTTTGATTGCAAACTTTATTTATCATTTATCTTTTACCTATCCAAACGTGGCCTAATAATTAATTTGAATAATAAATTATTGTGGGTTCGCCCGTTCATCTCCCATAGCCCACAGCAAAGATAAAAAAACAGTTTTGCGATTGGCACCAAACCAAACGCACAAGTAAGGTGGTGGTATTGGTCACCACCGGGTACAGCCTGCGCCCTTCCCATTCCACCCACCTTCCCAATTAGCAAAACAAACTAAATTATAAATTAATAAATAAATAAATTAAGGATTTTCTTCTCGAATATACTCCCTCTCCCTCTGCTATCCTCTTCTCCATTATCCACAACATCCAACCCTCAACCAATCTCAATTTCCTCAGATCTATGCCGTTTTCATTGCTTTTACTCTCTCGTCGTTTCGATCTACCCTTTGCCGTTTCCGTTTAGATCCCATGATGTCACATTAGAACCTAACCCATTGCCTAAGAAACGGAACACACGGAATCTTCTCAGATTCTTTTTTCGCGTTTCTTAGCGTTTTCTTCACTTCCAAACAAACCAAAAATATAGAGTAGAGGAAATTCTTCCTTAGTGTGCACACTCTCCGATTGATCGGTTATTGAAACCCCCGCACGCGCGGCGCGTATGGATTTGGACGATTTCCGATCCATATTGGAGACTGCGGGCGTCGACGTGTGGTTGTTCATCGACACCGCAATCACCGTCGCGTCCTTGGATTACGCCGCCGAATTGAAACACCGCCGAGATGGAATCGTCGAGCGCCTATACGCCGCCACGACGGCTCCTCCGCGATGCCGGAATTGCGAAGGTAACAATCGCCTCATGTCCAACGGTCACCAAGTGAAGAAACAGAGCAGCCCTAGCCCTAGCCCTGAACGACAACGACACCAGCCCCGTGGCAATTCCTCTCCCGCAACGCCGCAGTCTCTGGAAAATGACAAAGACAACGGCGACGACGACGATGAAGAGGTAGATCCTTACGGTGGTTTGTTCGATGACGAGCAGAAGAAGATTCTAGAGATTAAAGAGCAACTCGAAGCTCCTGACCAGGTATTGTTCAACTAGTGTTTGTATTTAATTTTCGGTTTTAATTAAGATTAGAAACTGAATCTGATTATATTGTTTTCGCCTCGTTTTCAGTCCGAAGATTCGTTGGTAGAGTTGCTACAAAATCTTGCGGATATGGATATTACATTTCAAGCGTTAAAGGTAAATTTTGTTTTGAAACGTTTTATTTCGTTCGTGTGGGTTTTCTTTTAGATTTTATCGGTTTTACTTTACGGTGTTTGATTCCTGTAGGAGACTGACATCGGGAGGCACGTGAATCGGTTGCGGAAGCATCCTTCCAATGACGTTCGGCGATTGGTGAAGCTCCTTGTCAGGTTTCGGAAGAGATATAATTTTTATTGTTATTAATTATTTTACTTTTGCAGAAATTAATGTAATGTTGTCGTATTTTGGAGAAGATTGATTGAATTGGTACGTTTGTTACTTGCAGGAAGTGGAAGGAAATTGTGGATGAATGGGTGAAGTTGAATCCACAGGGAAGAACCAACACTCTCATGGGTAATCTTGATTTAATTCTTAGCTTAATTTTGTGAGAAATATTAAAAGGGTTGGAATCTGCATGTGAAATTATTAATGGTAATTAATGATAATGTTGGCAGCTGATGGAGACTCGCCTCTGCTGAAAACCAGCCAAAATGGGCATCATCAGGTTGAGGTCAAAGAAATCTTTTTGGTCTACTGCTTTTCCCTTGGAAAGGTTTGCTAATATTAATTATTCCATTCTTTTTGCAGATTCCTGATTTTGCATACTCGCCAAATCCACACAGTGAGTATAGCATCTGATTCAAATCTTTTGGATACCCCTTTGTTTGTTGCATTTGGTTGATATGCTCTTTGCTGATGCAGATGGGAGCTCTGGGTCAGACCGTAACAACTCATCAGAAGCAGAACACAAACCAAAAGTAATTCCCCGCAGTGAAGCTCCGCCAAAACCCACGCCATCACCATCAGTTTCCACCCCTGCTTTCGCCTCTCAAAATGTACGGATGTGATTTTAACAACCATTTTAGTTTTTCTGACCTATGAAAGTGGAAACCACAGTGGCTGAAAATATAATATCTCAAATTAGAAACCAAGATGCAATAAATGTGGTGTTTAATTGTGCTGTTAAGTGGTCCTGACATAGTGTTGAACGATTGCAGAGACAGAGGGAACACAGAGAGAGCAATTTTGACGCGGAGAGACTTGCTTCTGCCAGAAGACGGCTTCAAGAGAACTACAAAGAGGCTGAAAATGGTGGATTTTTTTTTTCCATAATTTTCGTTTTCATGCTAATTCCTTCTATATATAACTGACTAGTAATTTCGTATGTTTGTGCGGTGCATAGCCAAAAGGCAAAGAACGATTCAGGTGATGGACATCCATGAGTTACCGAAATCAAAACCCAAGAATGCCTTCTTTGGAAAGAATAAAGGTGGCGGTAGTTCTCAGGGAAGGCACTGGTGATACATGTTCCAATGTTCGTGCATGTAAAAAGGCTTGTGAGGGTGCCGGATAAAGTCCTAAACCCTTGTTCATCCATGTGGAATTTTCAAACCTATTTTTTCTGGTGCCTTTTTGTTTAAATTAATAATAATCGAAGAAAAAAAAACTCCTCAATATTTTGGGTTTTTCTTTTTGAAAGGGTACCATCAAACCCGCTTTTGTCGGTTTGTTGAGGAGCACGTGATTTCAGGAATCGGGATAGAGATGGGACGAGGGGTAGGGCTGAAAAGGTTTTTCCTTAAAGACATAAAACATCGTTTTTTTTAAGGTCGAAGTTTGAATTTTAGTACATTAGGTTTAATGGACGCCATTTTCTATTAACTGCATTTAGTCCTTCTCTTGAAGAAAAACAGCAAACGGAAGTCAAGAAGTGATCATACTTAACGATTTTACTCCGGGTGGGTGGCAATTTAGTTGCCATTGCAATCAATTATAGGGTTTTGGGTCATAATCATAGGAAGATGACGTGTACACAACTAGTTAAGAGTTCGGATCCTTTGCCGTAAAATGCACAGTATTTAATTCAGTACACTAAATAATTGACAACCTTTTGTTTCATAGACCAAGCACATCAAATGGGAAAAACCTCAGATTGAAACACTTCAAATTATACGATTAGCCATTTATTAGTCATGTCGAGACACACATAAGGTGTCTTATTACGCCAATTTGGCATTCTTACAGTCTTATTTCCCTTTTATGCAAGCAAGTTGAATTTAATGTGATGAGGTACATGTCACGTAGTTTATGGCCGAATACTTCGTTCACCGGATCAAATGTTAACACAGCACAAAAACCTATCTTTTTTCCTTTGTCAAAACAAATCTTTCTTAAAATGCTTTTTCTACGTGGGCTGCTCTTTTTGGGCTATGTACTTTATGGTCATTTGCGCTTTGGGCTGCTCTTTTTAGCCGTTGATGAGGAAAGTTAGCAAATGGTTGTTAGTTTGCGCCAGAAGGTTGTTGATTAAGCTACTCAATACTCTATACCTAGGGTAGTGGGTTAGGAAAATGGGTAGCAGAGTTTTAGGCCAAATAATTGCTTTATGCATATTATATAAGTTGCATTTGTCTATATTGTAACGAAAAAAGGGTCAACCAATTAAACCTTACAACAACTTATCATTAACTTTACTTCCATTTGCAAGTCATTTCTTTTACAATTTCAATCTTTACATTTGTTCACAACTTTTTTTACATTTATCTACAGCCATTTGCCTTTATATTCTTTAACTAATTACAATATTTTTATTTTCAATTGCACTTAGTTAAGAGCTTTCTTGAGTATCTTGAAAATCCACAATCTAAGGATATATTTCTTCCTTTGACATAATTGTTTGATATCTTTGAAATGGATAACTTGTCTTTAAGGTATCCGCTCATCTATATTAACTGATACAATCGAATACACAACTTTTCCTAACATGTTTGTGTAACTTAAATTTAGCTGAGCAACTAACAATTTTTTACCATAAACACATTTTAATATCAAATAATTTTTTTAAAACCAGGATTGTATGGTAATCCTAATTCCTAACCTATTACTAACTTTAGATTTCAAACAAATGTTTATACAATTTTTAAATGAGAGAAAATTTATATTTCTACTTTGTTGATGTATTCATGTCATGCTAATTTTTAAGAAAAGATTCTGGGTACTTAAGTTCAAAAAAACAAAAGGATAAACATGATTGATCGATAGAATTCTTCATCAATATATATATATATATATATATATATATATATATATATTATGCACTATTATGGGAAAAATATCAGAATGCTTACAGTTTATTATTCTTAGATTGTCAATATAATTTGTTTAAATAGTATGATGATTACACTACCAAATATTTAAATTAATTACTTTGTTAGCAGATAGCTCAAAACAACTTATCTAGATGATTGAAATTTTTTTTTTATAATAAACATGTTTTATTTTGAAGAAACAAGATATATTAAGAAAATTCTTATTCTTTTGAAATTGTTTTGAAATTTCATCAATGTCTTAAAAATGTCATTTTCAAATAAATATAAATTTTAACCCTTTGATCATATAATTCATTTTTTATTTTAAATTAAATATTTAATTATGACGTAATGTTAGTGTAAATATTTTTATATTATTAGTTTACTATAATACATCTTATATATGACTTTGAAATTATGTATTTTGACTTTTATTGATAGGTCTATAAATGATTGAATGGGGGTATAATTTTGTTTTTACACTTTCAATGTACTTTAATTAATTTCATACATAGTCATCGTGACGATATATTATATAAAATATACATAAGAAGCTACTATTTATAAAATATAAGTAGAATTAGAAAAATTTTTGTGCACTGCATGAATATTATGAAATTTGAATAATCTTTCAATTAAACACTAAATAAGTTTAATAAATTTAAAAATATTTAATTATTAATAATAAATATTATAATATTACATAAAAATAAATTTAAAAATCAGTATATTTAAAATTAAAAAATAAATTGTAAATTTATTTAATTAAATATAAATTAAAATAAAATTGAATACTTAATATAACAAAAGCCACTTGATACAAAAATAATTAATTCTTAAGAATGTTCTCATTTAAGAAATTCTTAAAAATACTATTATTTAATAATGATGACTCACATTTTATATTTAAAAGCATATTCTACTTTATTTTGTTAATTCATAATTTAAAAGTATACGAAGTTTGCAAAAATTTACATAATTTAAGTATTATTTAATATTTTATTGCTCCTCTATATTAATAATAATATTTTATTGAAAATAGAAGTCAAAATTTACTAAAAAAATATATATTTATGAATGCTTAATTTGTGTAAATTTTATATACCTAATCTTCATTATAATCTTACAAAAAATAAATAGCTTTTGAAAAAAATAAATAAATATGCCATTAAATTATTAACAAGTAATCTTCATTGTACATGCTCCTCTCTAACACACACGAACATACTATATTAATTCTAATTAATTAAATTAAGCATGTATTATAAAATTAACTATAATTGTGGATTACATTAATACTTTGTTCGTTTGAACTTATAAAAGTGATTTCATAGTCCTTTATTTTTAAGTATAATTTGATAGTCCTTTTTAAAAGTTATTCTTTTTAAATTTTAAATAATCACTAAATAATTTTATTTTTTGAAATAAATATAATCAATACAATTATTTAAATATAAATAAAAAATTGTCTTTTCTTTTTGAAAAGAGTAAATAGAGAAGAGAACTATGTTAAACATTTTTTAGAGAAATTACACTTTAAACTTATTTAGTTAAATAAGGACAAAATTAGTTCTTTAATTATTTTTTATTCATTTTTTAGTTCTTAAAATTTTTCTTTTTTTCATATTTGTTCTTTCTATTAGGTCTGTTACATTAGCAAAAAAAGATATAATTGTGTTTTCTCCTTTATTGCAATTTAGGATTTTATATTATGTTATCTTTCAAACAAGAAGACAAACTCTCATGGGCTCACAATTTTTAATTATGAGTTGAACATCCATTTTTGTTATTGTAGTATGAAGAATGTTTATTGTATAACAACAATAACAATAAATATGGAAATAAAGTTTTTGAAGATGTAGAAACTATAAGGTAATTTTGTGAGAACAAATAACTAAGTTTTTTTTTATTTTTATTTTTATGTATGTATAAATAAGTTCTTTATTTTTATGTTACTAATCTATTGTATCATTTTTTAAGTGAATGAAAAATGATAAAGTTGATGATAATGAAATTTCACTACTGAAGCAAAGGGAAATTTTTTTACATCTTTAGAATTCACTCCAAATTAACAAAAAATAAAATAAAATAAAATAAATATTTTAATTTATATTTTGAGTATTAATGTGGTGATTTATATATTAATTATGGTATTGTTCTAAATGTTATTTAGCATAAAATCATTGTCTTGTGAGTTATATTGGAGGTACTAGGTATGTAATTTTTGTAATTTCACTTTGAAAACAGTGCTTTGATTAATAGAGAATGTTCTATGTTGAATATGGATGTTACAATATGTTCTATCTTTAATGAAATTTTTTTTGCATGCTTTATCTTGGAATATGGATGTAAAAATAAGAAAGTACTATGATAATTAAAAATAAATGTTGATTAAAATATACAAATGAAAAACATAATGAGTTCATAATAAAAAACTAAAAAAACAAAATACAAGCCCACAAAATTCATTGTCTAACCAAAAGCATAAGATATATGTCCTACAAACTACTTGTCCCTATAAAATATAAGTGTTAAGTATGTTGACTCCTTTGTGTACTCATCTTTCCTTTTTTGACTATTAATTAGAACCTAAGAAGCATTTAAAATTTGAGCCTATCTTGTTGGTACCTCTATTCTAATAGGTTATCTAACTTTTTTATGGTCACCTACTTCACATTTGGTGGGGATACGATATTGAGATAGTTAATAGATTACCACAAATTTAGTCAATTTAATAGATATTAAAATATGATAAAAGTATTACCTACTTAACTACCATTTTGATTAAGCTCGAAGTTTTGTAATATTTTTAAAATATGTGTTACTATAACAATGTGATATTCTTTCTATCCTCCGCCCACATTTTCATTATATAAACCTTTTTCTCTTCCATCATAGTTACAATTGACTTTTGTCTAGGTCCCATTAGTTTTAAACATATTATTTATAATAACATCTCGATTTTAAAAAAAATCTTAGCTTACTCCAATGTCTTGAAGAAATCTTCAAGAAGTATTTGTACACCTCTTCGTTAATATTCTTAATTTTTTCATATAATTTTTCTACTCTTGTGAATAAGTTGCCTTTGCAGCCCTCTACCAAAGTTCTTTCAATTATTGTTTACCTAAAAAACACTTTTCTAAAATTACTATACATGTGTCTAAGATAAAACTTTTATTCTATTCCAAGTAACAACTTTTTAATAACTGACAATAATCTATAAAATTAGACATAAAATTAGTATCCTCTACATTGGTTTAAAAAAATATGTAATTAGTTTTCTTAAAAAAATAGAATAATAATACTTGCAATGATTACATTTTATGTTAATCAAACATAAAGGTCAATGTTGTTAACAATCTCATGCTCCCAAAATAAAAAAATCAGTAGTTGCATGAACTACTTTTAATATATTTTTTATTCTTAAATTGATATTTCTCTTTTCTCTTTTTGTAATTTTTAATAAATTTTACTTAATAATTAAGAGCGTGATAAAAATAATATATTAAAAAATATATGTTGTTAGTATTCCTCTTCGTTACATTATTAATTATAAATTAGTTTATTTGGATGTTATCCTTTGAATCATTCACTTATTTTAATTATATTCAAACACAAGAAATTAGGGTTCACCTGACGTTGCAAATTAACCAGCTAGATTGTTTAACATAATGGAGCTCTTAAAACACCATGAGAGACACTTTGAAATAGGAATTTAACTCCTCGAGTGAAATAAATGTACACTTTCTCGGTAAAATATGAAATTATAATTGTTAACTAAAACATCAATGGACTAAATTTAATGACTTTATAATCTACTATATTTATAAGTATATTTTATTATAATCTAATTTGATAGTTTTTTTATTTGATTAATAATTATAACCTCATGCTCTATCCTTGAAAAGCACTTTCCTTTGTCAGCGAGCTCTTATCTAATAGTAACTGGGAAACTTGCTTCTCTGGTGTTCATAGAGAAGAAAACACCTGCTGATGCTCATATGATTATGATTTGATTGCTTATGATAGTCCTCCCACTCCGTTGATAATTTCAGATATTTTAAGTGTTGCCACTCCATCCCTCTCGTGTAGTTTTTTCGGGCTTTTGGTCCCTCAAGTTAAATCCGAGAAACAGCCTCTACTTTGTCGTAAACCTGATGCATTATTATTGAAGATGCCCAACAATAAATAAGTAATATATCATTAAACTTAGATGAACCTTTAAAAACACTTACAAGGATGAAAATAAAAAGAAATAATAATGTAAAATAAATTAAACTTTTTTCATAACATAAAATTAAGTTACGCACTTTACTTTAGGAAGATATTATATGAGAAAAATTTTAAATAAGTTAAAATATATAAGTTAATTTTAAACTGTAAATTTTTTTTATTTTATTTTATATATTTTTAGAAGTGCTCGGTAATTAATTGAAACTGACTCATAAATTTAAAATTTTAAAAGTGAAATATTTTTTTGAGAGTATAATCATAGTTATCAATGACATGATACTTTGGCGATATAGTAATATAGCAGAGATATTTGTATTCTCTTCTATTTGCTAAGGAATTGGAACAAATATTCATCTTTGAAAAAAAAAAAAAAAGTTATATAAACGTTAAAGTTCTCGCGCAGACTGAAAAGTGTAATTAGGTCACAACAAAAATTGACTAGCTGAATATTTTATATAACAATTGCTAGCGTTCATAGCTGCACCACAGTAAATTTTATAAAAATTACCTTAAAAAAAAGCATAATATAAGGAGATTTTTTGGGAGATGATATTTTTATGAGTGTTTGTTAGCTTTAATTTTAAGGCTGAGTTTAAATATTCATGAATAGATTTTTTTATAAAAAATATATAATTATTGTATTAAAGTTATAAAAATATAATAAATATTTCTCTTTTTAATAAAATTTTATATTATTATTAATTATTTATTCTTAGCCAATAAAACCTTATTTTTATCTCACTTTTCAGAATTTTAAGTTGTCTTAATTGGATATAGTTCCTCTCGCTTTTATACCGTACAACATCCATACTGCAAACCACAGTATCATTTTGTACATTTTTTTTAACTTTTATTGATATTTACTTATTATGTTTTAATTAAGACTTATGACTTTATTTTTAACTCTGAATATGTCATAAATTTAAGCATTTTTAAAATTTGAGCATTTATATATATGTTGAATAAATTATTTAATTAACTTAATTAAATATTTAATCCTTTCAAAAATTGCACATTTTAAATTTAGTCTTGAATTTTTTTTATTAAGATATAATTCCTAATTATTTGAACCTATTAAAAATTGTTTGTCGCCGTAAACTGAATTTTATCAAGTGAAATATCACTATAATATGATATCATGTGATGGTAAATGAAAATAAAATTTTTAAAAAGTTTCGGCTCAACTCCTAAGGTTAGGTCTTACTCCTAAAGTGCAACAACCCCGCATAGTCCATTTTTGTGTCTACATCGAATTCGTACCCGGGGGGTGTAGTTGGGCCCCAGTGGTCGTCAGAGCCGCAAGAAATTCAGCCATGGTTGACGAGGGCGAGGTTGTGGCCGGTGGTGGAGGAGATGAGAGGAGCCATCCGCCATCGAATTTGATTGGAGTGGCTCTGTTATACCTTATCCTCATCACACTTCATATCCCCTTTGTCTTCAAAAATCAACCTCACCACTGTCGCCCCTACCCTCCAAGGTTTCTCGGCAAGGAGACTCACAACAAAGACAATCCCCAACTCGCTCTTTACTCGCTGAGTCAACTCGCTCGCCGCCACATCATTTCTGTGTGGGTCTTAAACAACGCCGCATTCGACCTGAGCTTCAACGACGGGTCATTGGAGCTCTACAAGCTAGTGAAAAATGCGTGCGAGGTACGGCTAAACCTCTCCAAAGACCTCGTATTCGGTAACTCGAGAAGCGTTAGTTCGAAGAGTCGAGTCGGAGCACTTACCGATACCGAAATGGAGCAAAATCTGGTCGCAGATCAGAGAGAGAGAGATAATGTGTGGGACTTTTTTGCCGACGGAAATGTGACAGTCGAAGTTGGGTGGCGTACAACGAGGCAAACCAGATCCACTGTTGCTGGTTGGAAAACTTGCCGGAAAGATGACTATAAACGGTTGCAGTGGCGACTGAAAAAAGGATAGATGCAAGCTCAAAAACCAAAAACATTTGAATTATTTATTGATTTTTTAAAATAACATAAATATTTTGTAGACTTTTTTGAAATATTGACATTAAAAAATAAAATATTAAAAATAATAATTACATAAATATGACATAACAGTGATTAAGTAAAACTTTTGTTGGCTAATTTATCACTAAACAGATTTCAATTGAACACATAAACCAATTTTTAATGAATTTAAAAAGTTAAGGATTATACCTTTAAAATAAAAAAAAAGAGAAACAAAATTTCAAATTTGCAACTTTTCAAGTGCTTAATTAAATCTTATTAAATTTGTATATAAAATTATTAAATATGCCATATCCTGTTATAACAGTTTAGCATCAGCTGCTAAGCCCTATAAAAAATTGATAACTACGACTACAACTAAAAGAGTTCTAACAACGGTCGCAAATAATAACTAAACTAAAATATAACAAGAATTATCTGAACAAAAAAAATGAGAATTCGGACCATCTCGTTGATATAAAGAACTCAGAGCAGCTGAAACTGCAACTTCTAATATAAAGAACCATCTCACCATATCGATCTGTCAATACTCATTAGTATGAGAATCCCAAGTTTCCTATTATGAAATTCTAAGACCAGGAACTCCTCCTCAGTGTTGTTGCATTTTGAACTCAATCTTTTTTGTAGCGCTCTAATATCCCATCAGTCAGCTTGTCCTCGTTGTTAGTTAAAATTGGGTCAGCAACAAATGAATAATTCTTTCGAGATCTTTCCTTCTTTATGAAATTCCCTGAAGGAATTTTGGAAGGTGTATGTTGGGTCGACTCATTTTGTGAATTTAAAACATCAAGCAGCGACAGCGATTTACTAAAGAGTTCAACATTGTCCACCATCTTGGCACTATGCACTCCTTTCTTCCTGCTGGGCAACGAATCCAGAGCTTGCCAAGAAGAACTGTCTTGTTCATTACATTTTCGCTGTCCTGGCTCTTCTGGTTGAGTTAAACAAGAGGAATTTCCTTCAGATTCCGAATAATCAGAATCTGAGACAACGGATTCATAATCTGGATGTTTTGATGAATCCAATTCTGTGGCTTTCTGACTTAATTTTGGTTCCAGATAACTCTGATTGGAATTGTTGACAGAAACAGGACCTAATTCCTCCCATGGAGATTCCGCGTTACCATCTTTGGGGGCTGAATCAGATAATTCACTATCTGAGTATGAGACTGCATGAGCATCGCTTGCATTGGTAGATTGAGTTCTGAGGATACAAGTTTCTCCATCAGAAGCACCACCAGCAGAAACAGAAGGAAAAATATGAGTGGACTCTACTTTAACTCCAGGCATTATCTGTAGAAATGATGCCAAGTTTTGGTAACCAAGCTTCTGTAAATCAAGATGATAGCCATACCTATCAACAAATAGTCCTTTGAAAGAACTGAAATTATACCCCTCCGGGTGTTCCCTCAGCATCTCACTCAAAAGTTTCTGAGAGTCTTGTAATATCTCATTTCTAGACCTCTTGGTATATTTTGTTTCAGTGACAGTTGTGGAAACTTTAGTCTGAGGAATACTATGATTGTGTTTCTTCACATTGTGTTCAACTGATTTTTGCAAGTTGGACTGTGATGGTCTGCTTACAAAGAGAGAGCTCAAGCCATTTGCACCTTGAGATTGGCCCACGAATGAGTTTTTCCAAGCTGATTGAGTTAGCCTAAACGGAAATGCTTGGGAGGGGCTTTCCTCCAACCACTTTTTCTCCACTATTAACAACTCCACCAACTGAAGGATATCATTTTCAGTGAGAGATCTAAGAACCAGGGTTCCATCCTTGTGTAATTTATGTGCCATATCCTCCCTGATACAATAACATGTAGCAGAATGTTATTTATTCTTTCAACAAGTAGCTACATAATGATCATCATAACATATCAAAATGGATACTTAAATTTTGTCACAAACTTTATGGCTTAATTAATTTGTTGCATTGTTTTCCTTTCTTTTGGTAGCTGAGGTTCAGATTAGAAAAAAGAAAGAATGAACACGTGGAGGCTAGCATTTGTTTATTACCCATAACAAAAGGGAAATTTTTTAGAAGATTCATACAAAACTATTGAGCACACTAACCTGGTTATTGACTGGGAAACAAGATGAGATCCTTTGGGAGTGAAAAGAAAAGATTCTATCTCATTCCAAAAGGAACCACTAGAAAATAACTCGAGCATTCCAGAATGAATAACATTCTGTTCCATTTCAGATAACCCCTCTTTAAAATGACTAACAGTCTGGACTCTCTGGTCTAGTTCAGATAAGTTGGAATCCTCAAAATCACTAACCACCTCATTTTGATGAGCAGTTGAATCACCAGACTTTGCTTTGTTTTTCCAAAATGACCACCAGCTTTTGGTCCAGCTAAAGAATGTTGGACCTTTCCTATCAGTTTCAGCACTTTCATCGGGTCTTTTCTCAACCAGAGAGTAATCAATTGATGAAGAATATGGGCTGTGACAAACTTCATCAACCTCCTTTCTAGTTGTATTCTCATATTTGTTCATTGCTCTAAAATTTTCAGAGTGATTCCTTGAAGAAGTGCATTTTTCCAGAATTTTATGACATGCATCCTCAGGCCCAACAATGCCACTGTCATGAGACTCTTTATAATTTGTTTTTAAGGAACCTGTCTCAGTTTTGGAAACATTGCTGTCCTTGAGTGACAGTTGTGCAGTAGCCATATCTACAACCTTCTCACTACACACAGAAGAATTAACATCTACATATTCCTCTATGGGTCTTCCTAGTGAAGTGACTGGCTGGAATGATTTTGAATCATCACCCATACTTCTTTCATGGATTGAGGCAGTTGAGGGTGTCTCATTTGCTTCACTAGCCTTATTTCTATCCTCACCATTTAGCTTTGGAGTTGCTACATTTCCCCTTTCATCAATCTTAACAGCAGATATTATTGACTGTACAGCTTTGCTATCAACAGGTTCAGGGGATTCTGAGGGGACCAAATGTATTCGAAATTTACCATCACCTAAAGGCTTGACCTGTACGCATGGCAATGATGATAGAAAGCGAGAGAACACTTTATATCCATAGAATTTTCTATCTAACTGCACATTCCGTCTTGTTAATTCTGCACGAAGAGCTGTAATTGAGATCCCTTTTGGATTAAATTTCAATATACGCCAAACCTGCCTTACAACTGAATTAGGAACTGGAGCCGGAGCTGGAGCTGGAGCTGCCTTTAAATCTAAGGAAGGTTTACATATCTCCACATTTTGTAAAGATGTAGACTGCTCACCGGCTTTGAACGGGCTATCAAGAGTCACCTTGTAATTTCCATACCAAGAACCAAGCAAACCATCAGGAGGATGGTTAAAATGTTTCCCAAAAATATCTTCTCCCTTAAGCAATGAAAACCAATGCCACATTATAGTTGCTGCGCTGCAGAGGACATCAGGAGCACATGCTGTGCTAGCAAGCAAGATATTGTAATTATTCATTCGTAACCGGTGTAGTACGCCAGCAAAATCTCCATCAGAAGATATTAAAAGGAGATGTGCAGGCGGAGGATTTTCAGAAACCCAACGCAAGAGATCAACAAGAAGAAATCTATCAGCACTATTCTTTCCACCTGGAATAAAGTACTTCAACATATTAAAATTTTTTGAAAAGCTAAAAATGTAGATGAATTAAACATTAAAGTCCTGAAACACCACGTACTGTAAAACCATTTAATAGAGATATTTTCACCAGAACAGTACTAATCAAGTCCTACGACAAAGACATTGCATTCAAAACTGAGACCAGTAGAAGTTATCTAACAGACGCACAGATGACAATAAAATTTAATCTTACTCTTTACTGACGAATTCAAAAAATCACTCTTCCTCATTATGCCTAGAATCACATTTATCCTTAATCCTACGAAAGAAAAAGTAATTTAGACTAAGTTCTGTGCTTGATCTACAATTTATACAAATGAATGAATTTGCATGGGACTGCTTATCACATTCATATTAGAGAAACTTAATTACCTCGAAAATAACTTAGGAAACTAAAATCGCACGTAACTCAAACTAGAAAGATCAAAAGTATAATCAAAACAAATAATAAATATAAAAAATAAAAAACTTAGACTAAGTTCCATAAATCCTTGCCATCAAGTTCTTCAATTAAATGATGATACGTAGATATTTACTTAAAATTCTGCACTACACATTTAACGGAAGATGCTTATTATTTTAAAAAGAAATACACATGAATGGGAAACTTGATACAGAGAAAAGTTTAATGGGAAAATGGGTAACAGAAAAAGGAGAGGAGAGAAAAAGAGACCAGGAATGTGGGTGAAGTGAATGCCGGTGTAAAAAAGCGCGTCCTGATTAGCTTTGGATAACTGTAGAACATCACCAAAAGCGTGAATAGAAAGAGGGCCATTAATTCCGTTGGCTCTCACAGCTTCCGTGATCGCCGGTGCCACCTTGGAAGCATTAATATCTGCTGGCAAGCTGCAATTCTCAAAATCCCACCACACCGAAACCTTCACATTTCGGGAAGAAGAAGATGACAACTCACGCGCCTCAATCCGAACAAAATATGAAAAAGATGACATAAACAAGTGGTTCTTTCGGAGAAGGAGCCTCATCGCTGGATGCATAAATGAAATCCTTGCAGTTGCAGTCACTCCTTCACAAGAGGGTTTAGGACATGGGAAGAGATTACCCAAACTAAAACCCTTGCATTGCATTTTCCCTTGCCCCTATTATCCGCTTGGGCTTGCCTGACCGAGTCAAATCCAAAGGTTTTGGGCTCATGCCAATGGTCCAAATGATGAAGCAAATATCCAACGTTTTTATTTTTTGAAAAATAAGGTTGAAGATGTTATGAAAATATTGTTAATTTTGAGATGAACTTACAAACTTGTTTATTTTCCCAGTTGATGTTTGACGAAAGTTTATCTCAGAATTAAAGAGATTAAAGTTACACGTAGAGCTTTTTTTTGGTCAATTTGTAGCATATGCAGAGAAATAAGATGTGTAAATATAAAGAAAGGAAGCTCAATGAGACTCAATAGTACTTGTCATGAGATCCAGCAGTATCGGGTTCATTCAATAAAAAAGGAGCCAATTATATTTATTTTAGATTAAATTTTCCTAAAAAAAAGTTAGATTGAATTTGTAAAAAACTTTTAGTTACATAATTCAAACCAACTTGAATAAATTTGGACTGAACAGGATCTAATCATTGGACACCTATTTTTTTAAAACTATATATATAATCATTTTGGAAAAATATTATTTTATACATATATCTATGCTTTATTTTTTAAGAGATTATTAATAAAATCAAAATAAAAGTTATTTTCATTTTATCAATCCAGCAGTCGAGTGAATAATGATTACAATATGTTATTTTTCACCCGATTTAATCCAATTATCCAAATTTATCCTATCTATTTTGTTTAGATTAGGGATCAAGTTATTGATTTAAGAAAAACATTAGTAAGTATATTCCTTTTAACACATTCTTCGACACATTTTGTGTCATTAATCAATTTTTACATCTCCCTACAAAGCACTATTTTTAAAAATAAAATAATATTAATGTTTGTGCAATTATCTCGATTTAAATTGAAATCATTAGTTAAAGCATGTAATTTCAAATTAATAAACTATAAGCTTAAATGTTACTTTTAACTATATCAGTGTTTTGGCCCTTATCATATTATTCAACGCATCTCCTTTTACTACAAAACTAGTTTAAGCATTTTTAAATATAAAATAAAGAGATAACTTTAATTAATATGTAAATATAAGGTTAATTTGAATATTTAACATATACCTAAAAAGAATAAAAATAATATTCTAGAATATTATAAAAAATAAATATTTTAATATTATTTATTATTATAAAATGAAAATTTATTATTAAATGTTTTGATATTAAATTATAATATTTTTATTATTTTTTTACAATTAAACTTTATTTTTCAGAAAAATTATAAAACTTTTTGAAATATATTTTATAAAATGATTAAAATATTTTTTTAATATGCTTTTCTTAAAAATTATATATTTTTTAAAAATATATAACTTTTTTTAAATTTTTTGTTTATTAAAAACTGTCCATATACTTTTTTATAAAATATTAAATTTATATATTTTAAAAGTAATTATTTTTTAAAAATATTAAAAAAAATAAAGTACAAATAAGAATGTAATAAAAAAATTTTATGTTATCATAATAATTTCTAATGTAGCACCCTTTTTAATAACAATTTGAACTATAAAAGTGAAAATAAGATAACTTAGCGAAAGAAATCTATTGTATAATGATAACTAACAAATATTAAAAATAAAATAGAATGTGAGAAGCTAAACGGGCTTTAAAATAACTGATATTTTAACAATTTCAAGTTTTTGTTTAATTTAGATTAAATTGATAACTATCTATATTTTCCAGGACTAAAATGACTAATTTTATAATTTTAAAGACTAATATAATCAATTTCTAATAATTTCAGGATTAAATTAATAAATATATAATTTCATGGACTAAATGACTAATTTTATAGTTTTAAAAACTAAAATAACTGATTTCGTAATTTCAAAGACTAAAACGATCCATATCTAATAATCTGAAGAACTAAATATCTTTTCCATAATTTAAGAACTAAATTTTTGGATACTTATAATTCGACGGACTAAAATGATATATTGTTAAAAAATCTTCAAATGAAAAGAATTTCCATAGTTGCAATTAGCAACCGTCTGAATCATCCTCAATTGAAATGTCAGTATCCTGGCCAGCTAAAAGCCTTAAACTGCAGTTCATTGACATAAAGAACTACATCCCATTTATTTCTATTGTTCTATGTGTAATCCTGAAGGATGAGCATCCAAAATTACCTACAATGGAAATGTAGTAGACTAGGACCCAGGTCCAGTTCACACCAGAAGGTCCTGAGTTTTACATCTTTGACTCATCTTGTTTTTTAAAGCTCTTCAATATCCCATCAACCAGCCTGTCTTTGTCAGGAAAGACTGGGTCATCAACAAATGAACAGTTCTTTTGAGATCTTTGCTTCTCTATGCAATTCCCTGTAGGAGTTTTGGAAAGTTTATCCGGGGTCGATTCATTGGATGAATTTAATATACTCTCCAGATTACTCAAGAGGCCAACATTGTCCGACACACTTTTCTCTCCTTTCTTACTTCTGTGCCATGAATCCAGAGCCTGCCAAAAAGAACTGTCTAGTTCATTACATTTTCGCTTTCCCTGCTCTTCTGGTTGAGTTAAATAAGAGTAATCTCCGTCGGATTCAGAAGCATCATAATCTGAGACGATGGGTTCATAGTCAGGATGCTTTGATGTATCTAGTTCGTTGGCTTTCTGACATAATTTTGATTCCAGATCGCTCTGATTGGAATTCTCAACAGAAACAGGACTTAATTCCTCCCTAGGAGAGTAAAACTTAGTATCTTTTGGGGCTGAATAAGATGATTCATTGTCTGTGTTTGTGACAGCCTGACTGGCATTGTTTATTTGAGTTTTGAGGATAGAAGTATCCCCGTCAGAAGCACAAACAGCAGGAACAGAAGGAAAAATATAAGTGCAGTCTAATTTGACTCCAGGAAATATCTTTAGTAAGGATGTCAACTTTTGGTGACCAAGCTTCTGTATGTCAAGATGATAACCATACCTATCCACAAATAGTCTTCGGAAAGAACAGATATTATATCCCTCTGGGTGTTCTCTCAATATATCACTCACAAGTTTCTGACAGTCTTCTAATATATCATTTCTAGACCTCTCAGTATATTTCGTTTCAGTGGCAGTAGCAGAAACTCTGGTATGAGGAATACTCTGATTGTGTTTCTCCATATCACGTTCAACCGATTTTTGCAAGTTGGGCAGTGACGTTCTGCTTAGAAAGAGAGATCTCAAACCATTTGAACCATGGGATAGGTCCATCAATTTGTTCTTCTGAACTGATTGAGTTAACTTAAAAGGAAATGGTTTGGAGGGGCTCTCCACCAACCATTTTTTCTCTGCTATTAACAATTCCACCAATTGAAAGATATCTTTTTCAGTGAGAGATCTAAGAATCAGGGGTCCATCATTTTGTAAATTATGTGCCATATCCTCCCTGATACAAGTAACATGTAGCAGAGTGTTATTAAATTACTCTATTGACAAGTAGCTACATAATGATCATCAATTCCTCATAAAATATCAGAAGGGTCACAATTTTCAACAGAAACTTTATGATGTAATTAATTTCGTGTTGTTTTACTTTCTTTGGTAGTTGAGGTTCAAAATAGAACAAGGAAAGAATAAAGACATTGAAGCCAAATATTGGTCATTATCCATAGCAAAAGGAAATTTTTGAAAGATCTGCACAAAACTCTCATGCACACTAACCTGTTTTTCGACTGGGAAACAAGAAGTGATCCTTTGGGTGTGAAAATAAAAGATTCCATGTCATTCCAAAATGAATCACTAGAAAACAACTCAGGCTTTCCAGAATGACTAGCATTCTGGTCTTGCTCTGATAACTTGGGCTCTTCAAACTGACTAACAGTCTGGTCCCGTTCAGATACAGATAATTTAGAATCCTCCAAATGACTAACCACCTTGTTCTGACAAGTAGACAAATCATCAGACTTTTCATTGCTTTTCCTAAATGGCCACCAACTTCTAATCCAGCTAAAGAGTGTTGGGCTTTTGCCTGAAGTTTCAGCAATTCCACAGAGTCTTCTGTAAAGCATAGAGTCTTCAACTGGTGAAGAATTTTGGCTAGGAAAAACTTCATCAACCTCCTTTCTAGTTGGATTCTCATTGTTGTTCTTTGCTTCTAAATTTCCAGATTCAGAATCTGCAATGTCACTGTTTTCCATTGTTGTGTTATCACTTCCAGGAGAGTTATTCATTGAAGTTGTATGTTCTTCAATAATTTTAAGACTTGCATCCTCAGTCTTAACAATGTCATAATCAGATGACTTTTTGGATCTCTTTCTCAACGAACCCATCTTAGTTTTGGAAACTTTGTCATTTGTGGTTGGCAGCTGTGTATTAGCCACATCCACAGCCTTCTCACTAGCAGAAGAAGACTTCTGCAAGTCATTTTGGGGCTTAAATTCATGTCTTTCAACTGATGAAGGAAATGGTGATTTACCATCCACATAACCCCCAATGGTTTTGCCTTGGGGAGTGACCAGTTGGGATGATTTTGAATCATCATCTATACTACTTTCATGGAAAGAGGCAATTGAGGGAGTCCCATCGGCATGTCTACCCTTATTTTTATCCTCACCATTGAGTTTTGGAGTTGCTGCATTTTCGCTCTCCTCATTCTTAACAGAAAATCTTGTTGATGGCACAACACTGCTCTCAAATGGTTCAGGGGATTCTGAGGGGACCAAACATACACAAAATCCACCGTCCTCTAAAGGCTGGAGCTGTACACGTGGGATTGATAATAGAAATTGTGCAAACCTTTTAACTCCATAGAAGTACTTACCCAAATGCCTATCACATTTTATCAACTCTGCACGAAGATCTGTAATGGAGATCCCTTTCGGATGTGAACTCAATATATGCTTAACCTGCTGTACAAACGACTTTGAAACCTCACCTAACTCTAAGTCCAAGGAAGGTTCACAGACATCCTCATTGTCTAAAGACGTAGACTGCACCGCAGCCGAGAATGGGTTTTCAAGTCGCACCTTAAAGTTTCCATACCAAGAACCCAACGGACCATCAGGAGGATGGTTGAAATGTTTTCCAATAAGATTTTCTCCCTTAAGCAACAAAGACCACTGCCACATTATAGTTGCTGCACTGCAAAGAACAGCAGGAGCGTTCCCAGGACTAGCAAGCAAGATATTGTAATTATTCATTCTTAACCTGTGTAATATGCCAGCAAAATCTCTATCACCAGATATCAGAAATAGATGCGCAGGTGGAGGATTTTGGTACACCCAAAACATAATATCAACAAGAATATTCACACTATTCCTTCCACCTGTAACAAAGTACTTCAATAAATACTACGATTTGAAAAGCTAAAATGAACACGGAGCATAATTATAAACACTAGTTCATTAACCGCAAATCAAACTTGTATATATATTTAGTTTATGTTTTAATTGAACAATAATAAAACGAGTAAAGGTTAAAAAGGAAAGGAAAAAGAGAACCGTAAGGAACGTGGATGAAATTAACGCCGGTGTAAGCAAGTGCTTCCTGGTCGAGCTTGGAGAGCTGCTGAACGTCGCCGAAAGCGTTGATATGAAGAGGACCTTTAATTCCTTTGGCTCTAACGGCCTCAGTGATTGCAGGAGTTACTTTCGAAGCGTCTACTCCTGCGGGCACGTTGCAATTCTTAAAATCCCACCACACCGAAACCCTCACGTTTCGGGACTCATGATGGGGAGAAGATGATGATTGACGTGCTTGAAGCTGAACGAGAAGCTCGGTAGCTGCAGACGGTGAAGAAGAGGACAAAAAGAAGAAGCGTTTTCTGAGAAGTGGCTGCATCGCGGGATTACAAAGGAAACAATGCTTGCAGCTGCAGTTCAATAGAGATGGAAAGGGAAGGGTTTAGGACTTCGGTGATGAGGGGGCTAAAACCCTTACATTTCTTGTTCTTCTACTTCTTTTTTTATTTTTTTGTTTCTTCCCATTTTGGATTTCAGCTTTGGGCTCATGCTACCTATTGAGTCCAAAATTTTTATTCTCTTACATAATACTATTAAGTGTGTGTATAGCAAGATAGTTGCTTTTAAATATTGTTGATAAGTAAGTAAATATAATTCACATATAATATAAAAAATATATATATTTTTAATTTAGATATTCATTTTTTATTATGTTTTAAAGAACAATGTTAATGTAAAAAAATTGTAAATTTTAATTTTATATGCTATTAGTGTGAATATTTTTACATTAGTAACCAATTAAAATTCATAATATATATAATTAAATGATAATATTTTTTTACACTACCAATATATTTAAATAATTTAAATTTCGTGGTGCAAATATTTATTCTTTTGATTTGTATACTAACACTCTTATATGTAAATTTTTTATATCCTTTTTATGTAAATATGAATTAGGTGATTTAATTATTAATACAACTTTTTCAATATATATCGGATGCAAATATTTATCCTTGTGACTTTTTTTATAAATATGACGAATCATACAAACCACAATATTTTCAATTTATGATATAATGTCTAACATCGTGATTTAATCAATATACCATTGTAATGTTTGATTTATACACGCAATTCATTTTCAAAACCAATATATTTAAAAAATAAACAACAAATTTTATTAATCTCAAATTTATATTCATCCACAGAATAATTATTTAAATAATCGTCAATTAAATTTATTAAAACTAAGTCATTTTTCATTTATCATTTTCAAGTCAATTCAACCAAACCAAAAGTATTAAAATATGTTTGTTTCTTTTTTAAAAAACAATTTTTTGTTTTTAAAAATAAAATATTTAAAAACAAACATGTTCTTAATATCTCTATTTTAGTTTTAAATATTTAAAATAAAAAAATTATTTAAGCCAAAAAAAATTAAAAAATTATTATATATATTTTAATAATTGCATATTTAAGGTTTCTGTTTGCACTTTTTTAATCAATTTATGGCCTCGTAAACTGAATTTTAAATTAAAAATATTTTTAAGAAAGCTAAATTAAAATATAAAGTTATAAATGAGAAACGATAGTTACACAAAAAATTTGTACATTTTCTTACAACTTAATATAGATAGAAAGAGAAGAAAAATAATAATAAAATGAATAATGTGATAGAGACAAATAAAGAAAAATTTATTATAAAAATAATATAACTCTTTATAAAATTTAATGTAAGCAAACTCAACAATACTTTCTCAATGATATATGGCCGAGATTGGTTAAATTTACAATCAATTATGGCATAATAAAGAAATTAATCCTAAATTTTAAACTTAATTGAATCAATTTATAATAAAAAAATATGATTTAATTATATTTTCAATCTTTATAAAAAATAACATTTTTGAAATTAGTTCTTAGAAAATTGACAATTAGGTATGAAAGTCCAATCATTAACTCTGCAAAAATATTGTCTTTCTTCCACCTCCTCCTTTTCTTCTTTATCTGTTTATGCACAGTGAAGTTTATACCAAAAGAAGCCTCTTCAGGCTGCATGTACTTCCCAAGCATCATCGACAGCTTTGCATTTGTTCGTCTTCTTGGTTCATACCAGTTTTGCTTACTAAGAAGTGCAAAAATCTGCAAAATGGAACTAGTTATATTTCAGACACAACCGAAGGCAAAAGCTAATCCTAAAACCCTTCCAGAAAAAATCTAGTTTACCAACCCGAATGCAAAGGCACTCGAGTCACAGAAAAAATTAAAAATTGGACACAGAAGTAAAATAAGAGAAAGGACGGGCCTCGAGAACGGGCTTCCTTCGACCTACTTTAATGGCGTCATCCAAAGCTTCGAGAATGGACTTGGGCCAGACCTGTTTGTGCTTCCAGGACTTGGCTTTGTTCTCGACGCCTCTGATTGTGCCTTCGGTTCAGAGGATGCGAGAGGTCCTTCTTGGGATCCTTTACGAGTTGCGTAGAGGCAGCTTTCGAGCTCCCTTCACGATTCCATGCAAAAACAAAGGCGTGGCTTTGGAGCATTGTGCTTCGTTGAAGGAGTAAAGGGTGTGGAGATAGAAGAGGACCATGTCAGGCTCGGAGGATGAAGCCCCATTGGAGAAGAATACAGACGATTGGTGGAAGAGGAGAAGAAGAATTATAGATTGGACATTTCAAGAATACTGCTGCTTAGTGCCCACCAGGTGATTCTACTTAAAATTATAAATTTTACTGTGCATAAATGGAGAAGAAGAAGAAAGAGAAGTGGTCGAAGGACACTTTTTACGAATATTTACTTTTTTCGATAATGTGATATTAATAAATTGAATTTATTTTACGAATATTTACTTTTTTCGATAATGTGATATTAATAAATTGAATTTATTTTACTGCTTAACAGAGGATACAGTTGACGGTAAAAATTAATTTTAAATATTTTTAAAATGATAGGAATTATTTATTTTCAAGAAAAAATAATTAAATCTAAAAATATTATATTTTTATAACTTTGATAATAAATATATTTTTTTCAATAAGAATTTCTTATCTTTACTGACCTTAACAAAATCCTAAAACGAATTCCTGTCACTCAAGAAGCTTCGTAAATTGTGCAATTTTGATTTCAAGCATTAATTAACTCACTCGAAATCGATTTTAAGGTTACTAACTTAAAATAAAAAAACATTCAATCACTCATTCGAACAAGAATACTTGAAAACTCGCATCAGGTGTTTGCAAAGAGTCTCTTTCTGAAAAGGTTGCTGGGGAAAGTAGCAAGTTGTTCCTATTAAATTGTTACTTTTGGGCAGAAAAACCGAAAGATGAGATGCTATACAAAAGATTAATTTAAAAATTAGAGTGCTTAGAGAATAGATACACCACTGAGATAATGAGATTTCTATTCCTACAGTAGTTAATTAAAGCATAACTATGTTTCCCACATCCTCATGCACCGTTTTTTGGAGAGAAAAGGGTTGATGCTGAGCAACCGGTTTGAAACTCTATATATGCACATTATTGATGAAAATGAAGAGGTGCAATAATCCATACATTTTCACTGCCAAATGGGTGAACTAAAGCCATATTTGGCAATGTTTCTGATACAATTAATATATTCCGGATTGACCTTGTTTTCCAAGGCCGCGTTTAACGAGGGAATAAACGTACACGTGTTTGTCTTTTATAGACAACTCACTGGAGCCGTTATTTTGGTCCCTCTGGCCTTGATACTTGAAAGGTATATGTAAAGGACCTGCTTTTCTTCCTAGTGTTTTTGCTTGATTTTCCATATAGTTCTTTAATATATAACTGACCTATATTTTTATTATATGGTCCAAAAAAGAGCAGTGCCATTTTCATTCATTATCTTCTGCAAGATTTTTATGTTTTCATTTTTTGGGTACAGTATTCTTTTTCTTGTTATTATTGTTATTCATTTGATTTCTCAACATATGTTAGGTCCATAATCTTACTTTGTTGCTTTTCAGACTCACTCTTACTCTAAATATGCAAGCTGTTGGCCTTGTTTACACATCTGCTACGTTGGCCGCTGCATTTAATAATACCCTTCCCGCATCTACGTTCTTCTTTGCTGTGCTGCTCAGGTAATTTTAACTTCGAATATCAATGTTTCCTTTCTTACCCTTAAGTTTGAATGGAAAGGGGGTGTGACATGTTTCGATGGAATTTAATTTAAGCCTTTTACGTGATGACCGTTGACCAATAATATTACATGATCCTTGGAGAAAACTTCAGATGTTGAGTGGGAATTTTAAATTGTTTTTGATCTTCAAGACTGCAAAGGGAGTGTGCCTGTAAAAGATATTTCAGTTCTTAAGTTAGTAACGATGTTTTCAAGTGTATAAGAATGACAAAATGAGAGAATAGTTTATTATACATGGGGTTGTCATCGTTATATAGCAACTGTTCCTGTATCATTTAGAGCTGTTAAGATCGCGTAATCTATGTTGTCTTTCTTTCTACGTGACCTGATCATGGTCAATTAACGGCACTCCTTAATTAGTAACGTAATCCGTTGAAGAGGATCTGAAAAGATCTTTGTTACAGTTTATAACAATATTTATACAGATCATGAAAGAAAGGGGAATATCTTAAGTGAAGAGAGGTATATGTTTCGATTATAATTGGAAAATTGTGATTTGGTTTAAGGGAATTTTTAATCTTTTTGCACTTCTACTGAAATCATGGTTTGGGAGATCAAATCATATTCAAAAGCAATGATCAACTATAATTTTGCCAAATATTTGTGGGCGAAACTCAGTTTGCACTCTCTAAACTGAGGTTTGGGTCGTCGTAAAAACTATAATATTCCAAACATGCACGTTAGTATTCGAACGTATCACAGTATCATTACTCCCATTTAGCTCACTTTCCATCCATTCCAATAACTCACTTATTCACGAGTTCTGTGCTTTACTAATTAAGAGTAAGTGGATGACTCTCAGTTGCTCACGGTATATTGCAGAATGGAGAGGGTAAATATAAGGACAATATCTGGAATTACAAAGATAGGAAGTGTATTACTGTGCATGGTTGGTGTAGCGACTCTAGCATTTTACAAGGGACCTCAGTTAGGGACTGTGCATCACAGGCTATCTGGATCCCACAATCACAACAGTCAACAACATGAAGATCATTTTTCATCTCGCACCAGATGGATATTGGGTTCTTTTCTCCTGTTCTTAGCTATGATTATGTGGAGTTTTTGGCTTATAATTCAGGTAGCACTTATGTTGCATATTTGCCATTCTAAGTTATGCAAGGGTATAAAATGATCGAAGCGTTTGAGGATTAAAGTTTATGAATTTTCTATAATTTGGCTATTAAACAGACAATTTTTTTTTGAAGTGTCACGAATTAAGACATGTTTTCTCTTGAACACTTGTTTCACACATGTTAGACATTTTTTTATTAAGCGACTAATTAAAAAATAATTTTTTTTATTTAAAAAATTCAACCGACCCTTTTACATAATTTAGACACTTGAGTTGATACTTCAATACAGATAAATACATATAAATATTATTATTATTTTTTTAACTTTTAAAAAGCAGCTTAAATTTTAATGTAAAATATTAAAAAATGATGTTTCTTTAAATTTTTTAGAAAGACTCGTCACCGATTAAAAAGAATATAAAAGAGATCAAATACTAATAACACCGTAAAATAATGTCTCTTATCGGAATGGAGCTTTTTGGTAATTATATTTGTGTTTAGATGGTATCTATATAAACACCTCACCCTATCCAAACAATTCGGGTTATGGCTTAATTAGTTGATGATTCATGACTGTACTCACGCTGATTGAAAAAAGAACAGGCTCAATTTCTTAAAAGCTACCCTTCAAAATTGATGTTCACGAGCGTTCAATGCCTATCAAGTTCAATTCAGTCATTTGGTGTTGCTATAGCTTTTGAAAGAGATATCCAGCAGTGGAAGTTGGGTTGGAACATAGAACTGCTTGCAGTTGTTTACTGTGTAAGTATCAAAGTGATGCATTTCTATTCAACCAACTTATTTTCTGTGGTGCATTTTATGATGGAAAAAGAATGCCGATGCCTTGTATTTTTACAATTCAAACTAGATCAAGAATAGTGATAGAGAGGATAATTAAGTCTTGTCATAATGATGTGCCATGTCACAAATTGATTACCAGAATTAGTTTGACTATTTTATTTGATTAAGTAAGTTCTTGCTTTACCCCCTGAGCAAAACCAAATGGTTTGTTGATGGTACAGATCATTTTCTTTCTAGCATCCCATAAAAGATGTTTCAACTTTAAATTAAATCTTCTTTCTAGCACCAAGCAAAATATGTACGTATTTTTGCTACAGTTTTCCCTCCATTTCATTTTGATGATCACGATGCCTATAAATACTATTCTACGATAGTACATCCTACATCTGACAGGGGACACTCGTGACCGCGGTGGCCTACTACATGCAAGCTTGGGTGATTGAAAAGAAAGGACCAGTTTTTATAGCAATTTGGAACCCATTGAGTTTTGTAATTGCTACGACAGGTTCTATATTGCTCTTGGGCGAGCCCCTGCATCTTGGGAGGTGAGTTGCAATAACTCTACGGTGCTTTGGATAGAAATACCTGAATTTATCATAATCAAATATAAATGTCCTGTGTATTGTATAGATATTTATAAAATTACACGTGTTTGAAATTTTAAATATTGGATTATATTTAATATTTATTAAAGAAATTGCTTTTAAATGGAAAGTTAATTAAAGAGAAAAATAAAGATGTGATTTAACAAAAAGAAATCATAAGACAAGTGTCACAAAATGACAAAGTCAACTGGTTGGATGAAAAGAAAAGTATATACAATTTTTTTTCCATTTTTCAGAATAAAAACTTAAATTTAAAATTCATAAATAAATAAACAATGAAAAAAATTGTATATATATAAAAAATGTTTTTATTTTATTCATGACATCTTTTTTTCATAAGCGTAAGAATACTATGGCCAAGTTCAAATTCTTCAACAAGACGGGATCCATTTAGAAACATATTAGTAGTAATCTAAAATTGTTTTAAGCAACTAAAATCGAAAAAGGTCACCAGGTAAAAATTATAACATAATCACTGAAAGCATAAAAGGTATGATAATTTGACTGATATTGAAATATGCCTTTAATCGTAGATATTTGGAATACTTGAAGATTGGAACCCTTGAAATTATATTTAAGCTTGGAATCATTGATTTGATGATTTGCTATCATTTCCATGTGCATGTTTAACCATTCTGACGGATTGTTGGATTTTTATTTTTATTTTTTATTCTTCATGTTCTTTAAACATCAAGTATAATTTTTGTATGAGAAAAAAGTTTATATAAATTTCCCTATAAAAATAAATATTTCATAATTAAGAAATCATACTAAAAATTTATCAATTTTTAATTTATCTTTTTATAAATAAAATATTATTAATCTAATTAAAATGGAATTACTTATCAATTTTTTCTACTTGAAATAAAAAACTACATAACTTTCCTTAAAAAATATACCCAGCACATGCATGTCAGGACGTTTTAAACTTACATTCTGTCTCAAAAATTTTAAATTAATTTGCTAAAATCTCAAAATATTACTTATAAAATTATATTAATATCATATAAAACCAATGGATAATTGTATTTACATCTCTTTATATGTTCTGCACCATTATTTGTATGGGTTGATTTGATATACTAAGTAAATAATATTTGACTTAATTTTTAAAAGTTTTCTTTTAGAAATAAAAGCTCTTCTAATTGGTTTATACTAATGTTCTACTTTCTAACCCTTTATTAAATTAAAATATTTTTATTTTTAAGAGTTTTTTTTTCTAAAATATCTTTTCTCCTTTTAGAAAAATATTTTGTTAACATTAATCTTTAAGATTAATTTTAAACATCTAAAAATGATAAATTTTGATTAAAAATTAAAATATTTATTACACTTTAATATTAATGATGGAATAATTTTTAAAATAAAATTTAATATTTTTAATTACTTAAAATAACTCTACAAATTTATGTTAACAAGCTTTCTTAGAAAAAAAAAAAAAAAAAAAAAGAGCTGAGTGAAACCTACCCTAATACTATTGTTTATATAGTAAACATTATATTTTCACATATACTTAGTTTTATCATATTATTCTTTACATTTTTTATTTATTCATTTTGTGCCTCTTGTTCACTCATTGCACACCTCAAAAGAGTGTTATGTTTCTACTAACAAAGTGTTAGGGGTCACAAGCATCATGAGTCGCAAGTCAGCACACGACACAACAGTAAAAACGTTTGTGTAAATGGTTTCAATAATGTAGAGTGGTTGATGTACTTCACACACCCACACACATAAAGATGAAGAATGAAGACATGTCCCCTTGTCTTGTAAAGCTATATACTGAATCTTACTCATAAAATTGGATGGTTTGTTTTTCAGCGTTTTGGGTGGGATTCTGCTGGTTTCAAGTCTCTACAGTGTATTGTGGGCAAAAAGCAAAGAAGGAATGACTCATCAGAATTCTTTACCTTTTCAAACACATACAGAAACAACGCAAGCCGTGTAATTTTCATTCCGTTTTTTTTCCTCTTTGGGGCACAAAAATGTGTCAATCACAATAAGCACAGCTTTTTTGTACTATTTACACCATACAAGAAATTAGAAACAAAAAAGTTTTTGATTGCACATGAAACTTATCTTAATGCTAGATTTTGGAAAGAACTTTGCTAAAGAAAGGATGTGATTGGACTTGATGGTTTCACCAAAAGATCCTTCAATCTTTTACATGCCAAAGTAATATTATTATAAAATCTGTGTCTGCTTTTGTAGTAGTATAACTCAACACTGTCAGGTGTTGATAAAAATGTATTCATAGATTAACAATTAATTTTAGCTTTTCCTTCTACTAAGAAAATTTCAACGTGTCTATCTTCTTCTATTGATGTGAAGATGGAAAACCTCCCCTCTACCTAGCACCTAAAATTTCTAAGCAATTGGATGTGACAATTTTGGAAAACGGATCTTCTCTAGTCAAATTATAACCTATTGATCAACGTTTTTGGAGATTGATCAATCTCTAATAACATTGATCAACTTTGATGTTGATTAACCAATGTCTGGAATTATTGAGTAATAATTACTAACATTGACTAATCTTATAACTAATTGACCAATCATGAAACAAATTAATCATGCAGCTATTCCCGATTTCGCTGGTGTTATCTAGCTAGAAGTCCAGTCGCACAATTTTGTGCTTGTGCAGATAATCAATTACCACTGAATACTTGCCTTTTTTCCTTTTTTTCTTGCATCTATGCCTTTAATCACTAACGTTATCAATTTGATCATTATTTTGTCTTGCTTTTTCCTTAATTTGGAAGATATCATTATCTTAGGAACGAGTTTAGTTTGAGATCAAATATCAATTGTGTGTAACTTCTGTTAGAAGGAAAAGGATTACATTGAAAGTAACAACATAAAGTTTTGCGCGCACTGATTTTGACGAGTTAGTCCTCCACTCGAATTTGAAAACTATGATAGGTGGTGCTAACTTATGATAGAATCAAATTTGATTTGTTGGCATTATAAAATTAAAAAGCTTAATTAAATTAATTCCTTTTTTAATCATGCGCGTTATGGCTGCCGGAGTGGTGATGTTTTCCATTCTGATGTTAACAGGTGACAAACCAACATAATTATTGGAGTTTCTACGTTCTTTCTGTTGCTTTCATCCTTTATACATGCATATTGAGATTGACGATAGGACCAAAGAGAGCAAACAATTTTAAATCAAGAGTAATAAAGGAGTCAATTCCGTAGGATAATAAAAGACAATGTGCACCTTCATGTGCAGTTACTTCAATGAATTATGCATGATTGCATGTCACTCGTCACATAATGTGCTCAATGTGCTTCTTATCTGTCGTTCATTTTCTTTCCATAAAAGATAAACAAGAGTGATCAGTATCAACAGTCTTGAATCTTGACTTTGTTTTCCCTACAGTTGACCATCTTGTTTCACATGTAAAACACTATTCAGAAGTTCATATTAAATAATTCATTGATCATTTGCTGAATTAAAACAGAAGCATGGGATTACAAAAGAAACACAAGATAACTTACTCTAGTGTTCTTGTTCAATTTTGATTCATCACTCAAGGTAAAGCTAGAGGTCAAATTCGGGTGGCAATGTTCACCTATCATCCATCCATGCACGTAGAAATTCAATACAATAACCAATTATATATGCTGTCAGGTTGCAAAAAAGAAAAATTATAGTTAAATGTGTATCGCTTTATATATCAAATAACGTAAGCAAATACGCTTAATGTTAAAAATAAAGATAAACACAGTTAATAAAATATTTTTATAATATTGAAAATATTAATTTACTTAACTTAAATAAGTTTGACATAAACACATTTGTAGTATATATATGTGTATTAGTTTTAGTATTTATAGAATTTTTTTTTAATTTATAAAATTTAGAAAAGTCATATGATTATTAGTCTTTGATGGAAAATTAAATATTATTATTAAATTAAATATAGAGAATAAAAATTTTAAAGGTCATACCAATCAAAACAAAATACTATTATATTTTCAATATAAAAAATATAATCCCTTTCTATTTAATTTCTCCTTTTCAAAAAGTTATAGTTTAATTTTATAACATTTTATTCACATAGAGTTCTAAAATTTAATTTAAATTCATTGGTAGTGTAAAATATTTTTAAACTATCACCCAATTATACATTGTTATATTAGTAAAAATTCTTAATTTTTATAATAATTAATATAAAAAGTATATTTATAATATATTCTAATTAATTGATTGTAAAACTACTCCATACTTATTTATTAAAAACATAAAAGCATTAAATGTTAATCTTTTAAGTAATTTAAAATATTTAATAAACTGTAGTTAATGTTTTAACATTTAATATGAATGTAGATAAATTTAATATTAATATGTTTTAACATTATTTGTGCTATTATCTAATATTTTAGGTCCTATTTATAAAAAATAAATATTTAATTTATTGAGACTCACAAAAAGTAATATATATCATAAATTTATATATTTTTAAAATATATAGTATTAATTAGTATTTTATATATGAAATAAATGAATTTATATTTTATACGAGTAAAAAGTAAATATATTGATAACACAGTCATAATCAATAATGATACATACAGAATTTAACAATTAATATATTTTAAAAAGAGTTTTGTTATAATTAAAAAAATTGGTTAAATAATCTGCATGTAATGTATAATAACGTTTCAAATTATTTATAATACTGATTTATTATTATTATTATTATTGTATTCAATGGTAAATCTAACTCTACATACCGATTAAATTCAAAACATATAGGCAATCTTTAAGTATTGCCATCTCTTTGCTTAGCTTTCACTCTCAAAGCTATATGAAAAAGATTAAAGCATTTAGACTCGTTATTAAATTAACGGAAAAAAGAAAGAAGCCACCACCTTAATTTTGATGGCAAGATGGCAACAATCAAAGCTTTTCTGGCAACCCTGTTATTTGGCGTGCGGAAAGGTTGCGTTTTGGTCTAAAGTGGATGCTTCTGCTTTATTTGATTACTGTTATCTTCTTTTTTTCTTTTTTTTGTGTGTGTGTTAACTAATCCAAAATATTTTGGTATACTTTTTAAAATCATTTCATTATTATTTGTTAATTAAAAAATTGATTTATTAATTTATAATAATATTAAAATTCACCTTTTATTAAAATAAAACTTTTTTTTATTAAAATTTTAAAAATATATATCTAAAATTTATCATTAACGTGAGATTTACTTTCTAACTATTTAATTTAATTGTGATTTATCTTAATCCCGACTCTTGAACTCAGAATATCATTATTATGACTCACTCAAGTTGCATATATAACTATTTTATAATTTTTGTTGGAACACATCACTTTATACAATTTTAAGCAACTCTTGTCTCTAACAATGCAACTCTATAAAATATACTAAATCAGCCCTACAAAGTATCCTACATTCTCGTTTATGCAAATGGCACTCAAAATTATTTTATTTATTTTGTTCTTTTTGGTGAGATTAGAATATTTTACATTCAATTTTTCAAGTATAAAAGATCTCGCTCAATAATTAAGAAAATATTTTTTTATAAGGAACTTAATCTTTAGTGTTATACAACTCTAATAATGCAACAAAATTACGAAATAGTTCTTACCACATGCAACAAGTTAAGCAATCTCGTTGATGCTTGCTTTTATACTTTAAACACTGGCTACAAAATCTATCTTTCCTTTGTTGGACCTTTCTGCTCCTTTGTAACATCAAGCAAAAGTTCAAGTTACGCCTTAACATATAAATATTTACTAACTTCTACCTTATCATCAACTAGGCAAAAGTCCAACAATACAACAAACAAACTACTTAATCATTCTAAGAAAACAAGTTCTCTTATTATCCTCACTAAGGATGAATCTAAGCTGAGGAAAAGGGGACATAATTTAAGACAAGCTCCTCATCATACATTTGAAAAGCTTAATTTGATATAAAATTTGAGAGATTGGATTTCCTAAAAATATGATGAATACTAACAATTCTAACAAATTGTACAAGCTCTTTAATTTCTCTAATTTTAGGGTACAAGTTATGGCTCAATGAAATACTAATTGACATTCTATTTTCACCAAACTCCCCCTTTCAATTTTAAGATTTTTAACTGACCTGAGACCATTAGTAGAGCCCACAACTAAGCATTAAGAACAAAACAGTAATTCAACTTCTTAGTGAATCCAACAACAAATTTTCCCTAGTCATCCTTGACCAATCCTCCACAAGTTGTCAAACTATTGCCTCCATAAATTGCTTCATCCAAATTCAGCTTGTACTTACAAAATGGGAGAAGATTCAACAAACTATAGTCTCATGCTTACTAAGTCTTGTGAACAGGAAAAGAAGACAACAAAAATTAGAAGTAATGTACTCATTTTAACAATTCAACCTATACATAAACTATTTTAGATGAAAAGATTTTTTATTAAACATTCATTCATGGACAACCATAATAACCAAAATAATAATGTCAAATTTAATATTCTAATTATTCACCTTTTTTGGATGACTATTACTAAGATTAAACATTAACTATCTAGTTAAACTAAAGCTGAAAAAAAAAAGGAACCCAATGATTCTAATTAATTAAGTTATTTCAAACTTCATAAGCAAAATCACAAATACCAAATAAAATTCTTATATATTTGTAAAAGTAAAGTCCCAAAAAAAATTGTTACATATTTTATTTATCTTCTCACAAATATCTAAAAGGTGGAGGTGAGTTTGCATAATATAATTGAGAATACTCATTATACAAGATTATGCTAAAGTAATTTTCCTTGGCAAAAGAAATTTAATTAACTTTTTAATTAGACAACTTTCTTCTAACTTTATCTATTAAGTTTAAGTACATATTCTTCTTAAAGTTTTTACTAATAAAGGAATGTCTTAAGAGTCTATGTTTTCAGGGCACCTAATCTCTAGGGACTAACACAACAACTTCTTCCTCTCAATACTAGTATTTGTTGAAAATAAATGGAAGATTTATCATGATTAACTTCTTGAATAGACGGAACACAAAATAGATTCGTCATTGTCTAAATCATATGAACTTAATATAAAAAAGATTTAACAACTAAAATTAAATCATCAACATAAAATAAATGAGAAATATTTAGCCCTACCTCTCAAATTTAAAATGATGTCAATCTTCAGTTTTAACCTTAGATTGAATATATAAAGCTAGTCTCCCTAAACATAATACAAAAATATAGTGAAACAGAGGATCTTCCTCACGAAAATCCTTACAGGAAAGAAGTAAAAAAACTATCTAAAAAATCCTCATTATAGTTAGTTTAGAAAGAAGAGAAAATACATCTACATACTAAATAAATCAAATGATTATTGAAAATCACTATACCTAAAGTTTTTCTAATAAAACTTCAATTAAGTTTATCATAAAATTTATTAAAGTCTAATTTTAAAATCATAAACTGATATTTATCTTTCATAATTTTAAAAGAATGAATAATTTCTTGAAGAATTATAACATTATTTATACCTTATTTATTGGGTACAATACTACATTTATTTTCATAAAGGAAATGAAAAAGCATAAATTTTATTATGTTTTTGTTGGTATTATTATTATTATTATTATTATACAAAGATATATAAGTTTATATTTAAAAAAAATTCTGAATGCATTCCTTTAGAAATTAAAGTTAAAATAGTATGATTTACTTCAATAATTTTAGCAGGATCAACAAAAACATAGTTAAAGAATTTAAGAATACAAGGATAAATAATTCTCATTTAAACTTAAAAAATAAAGCATATATGCGATCTGAACTTTGCGATTTATAATTTCTTATACTAAAAAGGATAAATTTAATTTCATCTTGAGAAAATACTTTATTAACATAATCTATGTCAACTTGATTAATTTTATCAAAATTCAATAGAGATTTGTAATTTCTCATATTAAAAAGGATAAATTTAATTTCATCTAAAGAAAATACTTTATTAACATAATCTATATCAACTTAAGTAATTTTATCAAAATTCAACGGAGATTCAAATTTACCTTGCCTTAGACTAATCTAAAAAAATTAACTTGAAATGATCATGAATTAAATTTCTAATTAGAATATGATCATAACATCACTAATCCTTATCATATTTTAGGACTTCCATCCTATTCTTTTGTCTATGAATTATCCAATTGGATGGAAAATTTTATTTTTCTTATCTCCTGAGTTAATCCTTTAGATCTAGCTTAGGAGAACCAATAAGCCTTTTTTGATCAAGTATTTCTTCATATCCATGTTGAAACTTACAAAGAAGATTAGTTAAGTAAAAGTTATTAGAAATATTGAGTTTTCTGTAAATTTCTTCAATCATATTAAATCATTTTCCTTTTTCTGTTTTTGGTAAAAATGTCACCAAGATTTAGAAAATTTCAAGTGGAAACGTTTTTTTTAAATCTATCCACATTACTAGATCAAGATTCACTAAAAATTCAAGTATGTTATTAAACCTGAATTTTAAAATTACGATGTGATAATAAGGGGTTAAGAATTTAAAAGATGCATCATTTTCTTTAACTAAAAAAAAAACATTAATTTTAAGTCACAAAATTACATTATCAGACTTCATAATTGCAACATGTATAAGAGATTGATTAGAAAACAAATATCCCTAAACCCTAAACATTATTAACCATAATCATATCAATTCTTTTCGTAAGACAACAACTCCTTTAAAATTTAAATTAGAAAGATTACAAACATTTAAACAAGAGATAAAGTTTAACCTTACCTTTTTATTAGTAGCTCCACCTATTTATTTATTTATTTCAAAGCCATACAATATTATGTTAAAGTCTCAGCAAGGCAGCAACACACAAGGAGTATTAACACTATAGCTAAAATTAATAAGCTAATGCCAATTCAAATCTCTATAGCATCATGGAGGAATACAATATCGTTCTTCACTTTATCATACTAAATAACAACGTTAACAATCTCATCACTTAGCAAAAGTTGAGAAAATTACTTTACGACTCAACGTATCTAACTCTTAATTCACAGTTTCAGTCTTGCAGTGGTCTAGGTGTCTTGTTGCACCTCTTTGAGAAATATATTAATCTCAGACAATAAAAAATTCCTAAGGCACCTGATTATACGTGGATGGAAACAATAACATTAAATATGATTTGTCTCTCAATTAGAAGGAAAAAAAAAAGCCATACATTTATGTTTTAAATTTACTTAATATTTTTTTTCTTTACTTCTACGTTTTATAGTTTTAAGTCTTAATCAAATGAGGTATAAATCCTGGCATTAACTAGTTTATGGTAGAAAAAAAACACACTAATATTATTATTGTTCCTCTTGTTGGCTCTTCCCTCTAATAACACTGTCGTCATCAATGGTTAGATTGAGAATGTTACCTAAATAGCGACAATGAGCTCAGTCCCACCAATTTAAAAAATATTAAGCTAAAAGCTTTTTCAATCACTAATAATCCGAAAAATGCTAAACCATTACTATCCTAAATTTGACTTTCCGTTAACTTGGAGTGTTATAAGAGAAACTCATTTGCAATGGACTACAATCCTAAAAGTTCTAAACCTTAAATGCACATTGGTCAAGGGAAACTTGTCAACAACAAACTATAATTCTTTAGAGAGAAAATTGCCAATGACAAACTGTGATATGCTACACTATCAGGACCCTGCCCTCAATCTCGACTAGACATCGACTTCACAGGATTCAAGAGGGTACTCGATCGCCTTCACTTGACCATAATTCAAAAAGCGTTTCAAACTTACAACACACACTTGTAACTTGTAAGCCTGATTTTTAATTGGCATGATATATAGTCGAAAGGGCACATTTTACTGAAAAATAAGGCACTAATATTGTACCCAAAAAAAATCCAAAGTCTAAAGCGAGCCACGCACGAAAGATTCAACATTCTAACAAAATAATTTCAAAAACTCTAATCCATTTTTCAAGCAACCTACAAATCAACCTTGTGACTAGTTTTATTAGGTCCAAATGATGCATCTTGTAGAAAAATGTTATCCCAAATGTGCAATACATATTTTAACGTATTGATTGCGATATCTTTCTAAAAATGTTTGAATGTATATGCTACCGTTGGAAATACTACTATGACTAGGCCCCATTACTTGCACAACCCACAAATATGCTTTCGCACCGCTTTGGCGAGGTTTAAATAACATATCCTCAAGTGGAACAATATCCTTTAATTACTCACGTTTAGTTTTTTTTTTTTTTTTAATTCTTGAAGTTAAAATTTTTATCTCAAAATTCAATTTAATAATTAATAAAAATGTAATAAATATGTAATATATAATTGATTTACACAAGTTTATAAAAAAATTTATAACAACAATAATAAAATTAAAAAGTTTCAATTATCTTTTATGCACAAGTTTAAATTAATAATATGTCACAGCATTATATTTGTTTTAATTATTAGATAAAATTTTGCACTGAGAAACTTAATTTGAATAATTAAAAAAATTAAAAGATCGTTAAATATGATATAAGTATAGAGAATAAAATAACAATTAAGCCTAACACTTTTAAAAATGACATTTTTAATAAATATAATAATGAATTGTTATTTTTATAAGCTAAAAAAATAATAAATTATATATATATATATATATATATATATATATTCAAAGTTTAAATAATAAAAGAAAAATGATAGTGAAAATCAAAGTTAAAAGCTATAGTTCAGTTAAAAAATAATTTTTCTCATTCTCATAATAATCTATACCTTTTACTGTAAAATGAAACCAAGTAAACATGATAAGTTTATTTTTGTAAGAATTAATAACACTTAATAATATAATCTTAAAATTTTTATTAAATATGAGAGTGTTATTAAAGGAGTGTGAAGAGATTACAGATGTTTATATGGTGTAAAAAAGCATGAAATGAAAAATTGATTATTTATTTTTTTTGCCCCTCTCTCTTGACCCTTCCCTAGCTATGACCTTAACACAAATATAGTGGAGTTCACGTATGCTGAACAGGGAGAACGAGATTATACAACGACACACCATATCTCTCTAGATGAGACATGTACCTTAAACAATACACCACAACTTTTCTTTTCAATACGAGTTGATTGGAAAACAATTAATATACATATCCTTTTAATATTTAAATTCTTTAAAGTGAAGAGAATCCACTTTAAAAGATAAAGTATATTAATAATTACTTTTTAATCAACAATAATATTGTAAATGTAATTAATTTTAAATTCTGTTTTATATGTACTTAATTTTTATTAAAATTTTAATCATTCAGTTCTTAATTGATCACATTTATCCTAATCCGAACTAAAAAAATGCGCATTCTCATTTGAAAAAAGGCACATGACAAAGGCAAAGAAGGTGACCATATATTTGTTGGGGGCAAAGGCAACGAACTACAGTATAAGCTTATGAACGAATGCATGAGAATTGCGAAGAAGGGTGGCGCCACCTTCAACACTTGTAAAGAAAGGTGGTCCCAAAGATAAAGCAGCATATAAATCATCTTCCCCACATACGTCCGCGTAAAGAGCCAATGTCCTTCTCATTCACTCAACCACTGCCTTTCGTTGCCCTTTAAAAGCAGAACCCGTTGCATAGTGTGCATATATTTGTGTCATTTTGAAACATCTAACCTCACACTCAAAGCCATAGACACACCAAAATGAAAGGAAACAATCCTTATCTTGTTGTAATTGCCATACAAGCCATATACGCTGCTATGTTTCTTCTCTCAAAAGCTGCATTCGACCATGGCATGAACAATTTCATCTTCGTCTTCTATAGACAGGCAATAGCGACCCTTTTCTTGATCCCTTTCACCTTCTTCTTCGAACGGTATGTACAAATTAAATCTCTTATGCTCAACTTCTTGATGAATATATATCCATTTAACAATGTCAGTTTTTAACTCAAACCCATTTTGGCTGTAGGAAAACTGCACCCCCTTTGTCTTTCTTGACCTTCTGCAAGATTTTCTTTCTCTCTCTCTGTGGGTATGTCTAAATACTGAGTTCACCCAATGTACTGCTTCAATTAGGTTTCATATTGTTTATACTTTACAAGTTCACATGAAATTAACTACATGATTAAACTATGGTGATCCTGTGTAGTGAATTGTTCTTCTTGTTCTTTTTTTTTTCTTAATAAAATTGTGTCGGTGATCCTAAATTTCAGGATTACTTTAAGTTTGGACATATATGGTATTGGTCTTATTTACACCTCTGCTCCTTTGGCTGCTGCAACCACAAACTGTCTTCCAGTGATCACGTTTCTCTTGGCGCTTCTACTAAGGTAAAGTTCCGCTGATCATTTTCTCAATCGCTTTGCATTTTATTCAATTAATGTTTGTTATCCCACCCTTTAATTCAAATATGACTTTAAGTCCATCTTGGTCTCAACCAGTTAAAGGGTGCTATCTATTGTCAAACAAAGCATAACCAAATATCAATTATTTGACCATCAATAAATTATTTTTAAAAGGTGGTTAAGATTCCGGTCCTCAGGTATTACATCTATATGAATTACATTCGGCGCACCCAAAATTAATCAATAATTAATCGTATTCTTCTCTAGTCTCTTTTTAATTAATTGAAAGCAAGAATTAATTAAGCACATGTTGTTTAGACAAAGGGAACTCGACAGGGTATATACTTTAAATACATAATTTATATAATGAAGGTATACCATGACAATTGATATCAAAAGAAGAAAAAGATAAAGATAAGGCACTTAAAAAGAAGACATCCGATTTGAGATTCCACATCAATATTTCCAACAGCTATTGTAAATCTTTCTGGTGATTCTCACCTGATTTTTTTTTCAATTATTTATGTTTCTATATTTTATGCAAAAGTGTCAAAGTGGATTGAGCTGGCCCAACCTCCCATAGGCTCCTAACTCACCTCCAAGAGAAAATACCTACAAGTTAAACGAGTTGCTAATATCCTGACCTTACTCCTATATCCTGACATAGTAAATTGTTCTTCCCCATGGAATCTATAATATTGAAGAAGAAATTACGTGAGAGGTTTTAAAATTGAGCTTCACATGAAACATAGGCGTTGAATTTAAAGGGTATGCGATTTTTAATTTTTATCATACGGAGATGGGATTAGAATTAAGTTAGTATAGTTTTTGTGACAGGACAATCTCAGATGTTCCAACTAGGGTCAAGGCGCTTCCTAGCTAGGTTCTAGGAAAGACAACATTTCTTTTCTCTTTCGGCTTTTGCAATGTTCTGGCACCTTTTGGCTTCCACCAGTAATTAGTATATCAACCTTAGTGCTTGCTTGGTTAGTATGCAAAACTACTTTACCATAGACAAACATATTAATATGAAATTATAATTAAGATTAATTTAAACATACATTCCACTTACATTTAAGAAACTAAATAATATTTTAAAAAAATTTGAATACATTGACAGGTTTATTTTACTAAATTAATGATTATAACACTTTCCTTTTTCTCCTAATTAAGTTAATAAATTCTTTGAAGAGCCAAATCACCCGTTTAGCATTGGGAGGGACTTCTAGAGCAGTTGCAGTGTGTTGATCAGATGACGCGACAGTTTTTAAATAAAAGGAGAAACGTCCATGTTATGATCACGTGAATTAAAGTCCCCATGCAAATATAAATTAGTCATATATACTCAAAAAAATAATCTCATATGTAGTGCTTGGCGTCAAGCCCAGCAAAAAGGATTACTTAGAACTCTGGCATTTCATTGTTAGGTTTTTAATCTTTCAATTAATATGCTATTAATATATAATCCACGTGTGAATTTTGTATTTCAGGATTGAGAGTTTGAAAATAAAGACGGCGGCTGGGATTGCTAAGTTGGTAGGCATTGTGGCATGTTTGGCTGGTGCAGCAACTCTTGCCTTTTATAAAGGCCCTCAATTGAAACTTTTAAGCCATTATCACCTTTTGGATTTTTACCTTAAAAGCCAACAACATCAAGGTCATGCTCAATCCAGCACATGGATAAAGGGTTGCTTCCTCTTGCTTCTCTCTAACATGTGTTTCGGGCTGTGGCTTGTATTCCAGGTAACCTTAATTTGTCCCCTTTTGTTATCAATTCATTAAGTTTTAATTATTTACGTTCAGTTTGAGTAGGTTTTTACAAAAATATTTATAGGATAATAAAATAAATAAATAAAATTATTAGTTAAAATTAACTTATATTTAAAATAATAATAATTAATTTTTGTAAATTATGAGATGCATAAGTTAGAAGGGTTTTATTTATTTTATCTTCTTATTTCCTTCTCTTTTATCTAGTCATCTAAGTTATTCCCGTTGATCATTAAACAGGCTTTCATTATAAAGGGCTATCCTTCAAAGCTGCTCCTCACAACTCTTCAGTGTTTCTTAAGCTCAATTCAGGCTTTGGTCATTGCCTTGGCCATAGAAAGGGACATTGAGCAATGGAAGTTGGGTTGGAATGTTAGACTCCTTGCCGTAATATACTGTGTAATCCTCTAAATCTTTCCATTTAATTAAATTCATCGTTGACTTCTATCTCTATATAAATATGATTAGCCAGAGATTTGAAATCTATAAACCCCATGACTGATTGCAATTGATTTGTCATGATAGGGAATTATGGTCACTGGTGTCACATATTACTTACAGACATGGGTTATAGAAAAGAAAGGACCTGTGTTTCTAGCCATGTCAACTCCACTGGCTCTGATTATTACAATCTTCTCCTCTGCAATTGTCTTCGGCGAGATAATCAGTTTGGGAAGGTAGGTAATTTAGTTTCACTAACTAATCTCAATTAAAGTCTTATCTTGATAATCTGTGATAGTACTAAAAGTAAATATTTTACTAAAATAAAATTATAATTTTATTCGGCAAACAATGGTTATAAAATAGCATCAAGTTTTCTCTTTCGAAAGCTTTTATTTTATTTTATTTTATTTTTCTCTTTAGGTTAATTGATAAGTTTATCGTAATTCAATTCTTATGGAGATAGGTCTAATTCCTGCACAAGAAAGTTACCACCATGGTTGTGTTTTGTGCTGGAATCATTCCAAAAAATGTGAGAATATAAGTGTACTTATAATTAAAATTACCGATTAATTGATTGAGTGATTGGAACTGGTGTTTTTTCAGCCTTTTAGGTGGGTTGGTGTTGATTATAGGACTATACAGCGTACTGTGGGGAAAGGGCAGGGAGCATATGCCAAAAGCCACACAAGATGTGGAGCAGGCGTCGGGTTAATTAGAGTCATATATGAGCTTGTAATTGCGATCATATGTGAATTCGAATGGGATGATTGTTTATTTTATTTTTTGGTGGCCGAAGCTAAATTGTTAGAAAATGTGTTGTGAAGAAAGGCGATACATAGTTCGGAATATTGCCAAAATTTTCCCATGGCAACAATTAATACATCATAGAGCTTTAAGCTTGTGGAGATATGCCAAAGAGCATAATTTAAATGTAAATGTTTGAAGGACCCCTTTTCGACCTAAAACATGAGGTCAATTATCTTTCCATTTATAATATTGGGTTGTAAGTGTTATTTTATTTTTCTGTGCTCAATAACTAGGTTGTAAAAATGGCCTCATATTGTTTATATTGTTGAAGGGCACAAACATAAATTCATTTATATATGCCTTTGTTCATATTGTTTTTCTTATTTTCGATTTAATAATGCTTTCCCCCACAAACTATATTAAGAAACCATATGCATTTGGCATTTGTAAAATGTTTGATGTACCATTAAAAGGGAGCAAAATTTACTATATTAATAATATTTAAATACTAATTTATGATAAAATTTATTATTACTTTAAATACATATTAAAACTAGAGATAAAAAATAAATGAGAAAGAAATAGAAAGGTGAAAAATAAAGTGAAAGAGATTTGTTATTTGGATGGATTAAAATTAAAGAGAAGAAAATGAAAAAAAAATCCTCCACTTATTTGGATGAATAAAAAAATTTATTATATTAAAAATAATTATAGAAAATTAAAATTAAGCTAAATTTTGTTATTGTTATATTTTTATTGATAAATTTTTTATTTAAATTTTTAATATTATATAAATATTTTTAAAAAATTAAAACAAATTTAAGAAAAAAAGAATTCCTGCACTTTCTTCTCTCCCTCTCACTTTCCTCTATTTCCTCTACTTTGTGGGAGGATTTTTTTTAGCGTGGGATTCACTCAAAAAGTTATTTTCTTCTTTCTATTCTCCTTCATTAAAAAAGCACAACCTTTTTCACCTTTTCTCTCTTTCCTTCCCTCCTCCCTAATCCAAACAAAGTGTAAGGACAGATATATGTTTTGCACTCCTGCACTTACATTGCAGAAAAAGGAAACAAAATAATTAGGAAACACTCTAAGGAATATCTACATCTTGAAAAATTAAAAAAATGTATTAAAATAATAATAATAATAATAAATGATGTGATATGATATACCAAGAGAAATAAAAAAGAGTTAAAAAAATAAATAGACGTTAATATTAAGTGGTTTGAGATCATGTGATATAACTACTAATATTATGTTATATGAATAAATTTTATAATTTATAAATATACGAATGTGTTGCAATGTGAGTAGTTAGCTATCATTTGGTTTAAGACTACCAAAAACATTACTCCTTGAGTGGATATCAAAATCTCTTATTTATAAAACTTTTCTCACATTATATCATTTTTTAGTGATTTTTTCTTTCTTCTAAAATTTATTTTATTTTAAAAGGGCATATGAATGGCAATTAAAGGAATAATTCCTTAAATTGATAATCTAATATTTAACATCACCACATGTATCTTCTTTTATCATATATAAGTTAATTCGTCAAAATGAATGATACAGGGTAATTATGTGCACATTTATTAAACCCATTTCATTCGGCCCCTCTTTCGTCCCATGTTTCTTCCCTTTTCTTTTCTTTTTTCCATAAATTTGAATCCTGTCTCATAAATCTGCTACGCTCATAGCCTCATAAATGTGCTTCGCTAGCTCTCCGTACTGCCATTTGGGCCCAATTTTGAGGTTTTCTAAATGAAATTGGGCTGACCAAAATTTAATTTTGGGCCTAAATGACTTGTAGAAAAAATCATTATGAAGGCCCGTGGTTTGTGGACATGAGGCCTGCTGATTCGATGATTCCTATGATGTAGGAGAGCCAGAAAGAGAGGAGGCCAGCGAGGCAACCTCGGCGTGGCTGTGGCCTTACCTCAAGCCCCACAGAAAGTTGGCTTCAAACGACGCCGTCGTTGCAGATTCCTTCAACTTCGGTCCCACGACATCGCAAACGCTTTCGATCTCTCTCGATATGCAAATAGCACGATGGCGGAACTTCTTGTCTTTGAAGACTCACGCGATTCCCTCCGCTACGCATCTCTCTGCATTTCATTCCACTCCCTGTTCGTGTCAGAAATGGAATAACAAATTCAACTCCGTGAGTTTTTTTTTTTTTTTTTTTCTGATTTCAAAAGTTCATTTGCTTCTTTCTTGGTAGTAAGTAGTAACAATATGGTAGAAATGGAATGGTGGAGATAGGAGAACTTTTACATTTGGTATACAAGCTCTGTTGGCAAGTATTGCACAAACTTGTTGCTAACTTGTCATGCGTTCTTAGCTTAGAAGTAAATTACTACATTTTCCTATGAACTATTGAAACCCGAATTTGTGTGCTCAGATCACCTGCCACTGGGAATTGGCTTACCTTTCCAAGCTTATTTGTTTATCTATCATCTTTTTCAGTTTGGGTTGTCTATGTTCTCATTTCTTCTTGGACGAGGGATTATCTCTTTACTGAATATCAGAAAGTTTGGAAATTAATACAATGTTTTGTTTCCAGGATATAAGAAGAGGTCAACAACCATCTAAGGTACGCATTGGATCTATAGGTTCATTTTCTTTAGGTGATCTAGCAGTAGCACACATATTTCTGCCTATTTTTGGTGTTGTAAACTTGTGAAGTATTTATACAAGGCAATGTATTGTTTGTATTTAAACTTTTTTTGTCCATTATTATATTGATTATCATGTAAACTAGTTTTATTCAGTGGTAGGTATTATCATGTTAATAACTTAACGCTATGAAGCCTCCTGCTTTCTGAATTGGAGAAAAAATCTTCAGTTTGGTAGAGTCTTCAAGCAATCTATGGTGAATTATTTTCACAATCAACTTGTGAACAATATTCAAATTATTTTCTTAGTGGTTATTATTTAGTACAATGACTGGTAGCATATGTGAATGTTCTGAATCTAAAGCTTTACAGAATTTTCTAATATCAAAATATCTGTCTGAACATATACATGGAGGGCAGCAATGTATAAATGATTATAGTAATGTGGGCACTTCGAGTTAGAGGTCTCTTGTACGCATTCACACATGACAAAACTGGAGTTCACCATAACACTTTAAGATATTTCTGTATGGTAAATATTTTGTACACCTTAAACTAGGCATGCAATAAAACTGCTATTTCCCTTTGTAGATAATGGATTCAAGCCCCATGCCCCCAATTAAAAAGAAAATGGGGGAAGGGGTGAAAGAAAGAAAGATATATCCATTTTGTAATACAATTCTTCATCTTTTCCCGTGGTCTTTGACTGTACAGAAACACATATGTCATCTTTTATGTGTTTCTGTTAAATGAATCCTTGGACTTCCAATCGTTTTTCAGTTCTTGTTATTATAAACAGTGGCTGATTACTTAAAATCTCAGATTAAGTGCAAGCTTGTTTTATTGCTGGACAAATCTTTAGTTTTGTGTGTAATGTGTATTATAGTGATTTTCTCTCCTATGGTCAGATTTTATGTTTTTCTCAAGGGCTTAACTATGAGATGCAATGGTATTTTAGGTGAAATGCAATATCTGTTGGGATTCATTAGGAATTTAGATAGAAATTTGTTTAGCATGCATTTTAGGACTGACATACTTATGTCCCCCATGCACTACTTCATACAACTCTTATGGGGACAAGCCTGCTTATTTGACATTTATATAATTATTAACATAGTTTCTTTACTGATGATGGAAATGTGAATTTCAGAATCAATTCAAATACATTACACGTCAAAAGCGTGCTGATGCAAAGAAAGCTCTGAATAGTCTTCTTTACAATAGTGGATCCTATAACTTTTCATCTGAGGTATGCTTTCTAAAACCTTGATTATGTTGAGAAACTTTGTCATTTTATGATATTATTATTAATATCTTTTATATTGTTTACTGCTGTCACTATGTTTGCTTAAATTTTTGGGTAAGGATTTGTGTGGGTAAAGTGTGTGTATTAAAGAGATACGAACTAGCATGAACTCGATGCTTTTGAAGTAAACTTTTTGCACTATTTAGATGGGAGAGTTCATGAATTGGTTGGGAAAAAATACTGCCTGTAGACAATGGGTATTGGGTGGGATATTATGAAAGGAAAAAAGTATGTGTGTCCCTTGTTAACAAACTCTGTTTAAAAACCAGGTGGGAATATATTAGCAAACCTCATATTTGATTTTTATGTATTAGACTTGCTAGCTTGCAACAATTTATAATGATAATGTTTTATGGCGTACATTCTCCCAGGAAAAATGGTATGGAGACCATGGTAGGTGTTCCCATAAAGGTCAACCAAAGTCTGGTCAGCGGTCTGGTGGAAAACCACAAAAGAAAACTAAACGTGAGTTCTTTTTAGTTCACATTTGTATTTTATTTTATTTTTTTGTTTCAACATTTCCTTCACTTTTTCCCTTACCTTCCTCAATCACATGTCTGTACTGGTTAGAATTTGTTGTTCAGGAGACAAGTTGAGGGTCTGGGTAGCTAATTATTTTGAGGGAAATATGTAGAACCCTGTGAGATTTCGAAAATTTTCAGAGACATGCGGAAATGGACAAATTACCTCTCATTAGAAATTTTAATATGAAAAGGCCATCCTTAATATCTTAGACAAATGTTGTATTCCTAATTTACCCCATTTTGAGTTAGATTTGTAATATTTTTAATCCTGGGAAATATATATATTTTACTCAATTACTTTTAGAGAAGTGCTAGCAACACAATCTTCGTTATTAGTTAAAATTTATTAAAAATAACAAAAACATGTGGATCTCTCACTTAATTTCATGATTATCACTCCTAATTTAATTACTCTAATAGTTTTCAACAAATTTGAAATCAATAACTGAGACTATGTTAAAAAGAATGTATTAGATACTATGTTCCTAATACTCCTCTTATTTTAATGGATGTTTATGAAATTTAGAAAAGTACACTTTTCCAGCAATACATGTTGCTTTAAAGTGCTGTCATTATAGGTAAAATTTTGTGTTTTGTCACACGGTCATTACAATTTATTATTTGTTCATTGTAGATGTTTTGTTATGCCATCTTGGACTTCCTTGTCCGCATGAATGTTTCTTTAAATTAACATTTGTTTACTTTCCTAACTGCTGATCTCCATTATATGTTCAGGAAAAATCAGAAGAGAAAGTTTCTCTGAGGACTTTGATGTTCCTACTGAGCAAGTATTCCAGGCAACATTTGGTAACAGAAGGTATACCTGGTCCTTCAATAATTGGAGGGGTTCTTCTGAACGTTCCACATCTGGGTTTGAATGGAGGGAACATTCAAGTTGGGCAAACAAATGGAAGAATGAAAGTGATGCTGAGTATGATGATGATTCATGTTGTATAGGATCAAGTTCTGATAGAACTATTCTTGGTCTGCCACCAACAGGTCCATTAAGGATTGAAGATGTTAAAAATGCGTAAGTACTTCAGGGTTTCTATTCAGTGAAAGGTTTTGTGCTAAACTTAAAAGACAATTTTATTTTCCTTGTAGATTCCGGTTATCGGCTTTAAAATGGCATCCTGATAAGCATCACGGCCCTTCCCAGGTGCGTTTGAAATCTTTGTTTGGCCAATTTACTTCTTAGATACATGTTAGAAACTTGGAATTGAAACGTGAAAGGGGCATTATGTATGACAACTTCACGTGTTAGGTTGGCCGCAAACCCACCCTACTCAAAACTCACTATTAGCTACAGACTGTCTTCCTCGTAATAGGTGTAAAGTGTTAACAATCCTGAACTACCGTTTATATAGGTCCTCTTTAATATATTTTAAGCACAAAAGTAGTTGCCAAGCACTGTTAAATTGGCATTATATACCGTCTACAACATTTATGAACAACGAATAAACAACAGTCCATTCTCTTGTGGCTTTTATGATGCAGCCACTGATAAAGGGTGCAGCAGTCGTTCCTACTTCCTACTAATATCTTCCATTTATTAAAATGACTTTTGCATCAACGTTTAATATTCACTACCGGTGATTTGTTTAAAATTGATATTTATAACCTAACATATGGAAATTATTTACAAGCCCTTCAAAAAAAAAAAAAAGAAAAAAAAAAAGGGAAGAAACAGGTGTCTGGGACAAGTTGCTGAGAAAATCGGCCTTGTGAATCTCTGTTATATTGTGATACAGGGGTCTTGCAACTACAGGGAACAAATTTCAGGCGATAGGATTTGGCGATCTGGCCCTGAACCACTAGGGATGAGTGGTTTTATATAGGTAGTGTAGATAGGTAGAAGTGCTGATGGCAGTGGTTGTGATGGAGGAAGTTTCGGGGTTGTGATAAAGTTCTGGGTTCAACTCACAAGATTAGGCAGCCTGCATTCGGAATAGAGATTGGTGGTGTTACTCTGACTACATTTCTGATGAGATAGTGGCTGGGAGGTGATGGCTGGCAACACTCATAGTATGTATGTCTTCATTCCTTATTTGGTCTCAAATATCCTGCGGTTTATGATTCTTGGAAGAGGGGTTGTGCCCATTTAGTTGCAGAAAGATTAGGATCGATCAAGTGATCTTGGTCAACCGACCAACTTATTTTACCCTCGTTGGTGATGAGTTGGAATAACAGTCTTGGCCCTTTCTGTACAAAGAGAGATGCTTACATATACTGATGAGTTTATTGCAAGTGTATATTGCAAGTATGTGTGCATTGTGTTATTGAAAAACTAAAAGAAGGTTGAAATAATATCGTTTTGAATCCAGCATAGAACATGAAAAAGGAGTAGCTCATTGTTACTGGTTTTTATCCACCATTTCTAGGCCGTACTGGATGGTCTGTGGTTTTAAATATTTACAGAAGGATAACCATTTCATTATATATAGGATGAATGACGAATAAAATATAGGTTATACTCTAAATTGTAAAAATTTATGTCAGGTATTTTTTTAAGTTTCACTAATATGGCCACCTTTCTTACTTCGTCTTTTAGGTTATATGTGCTATCTGGTCTTATGTTTGGCACTTTACCTTTCTGTGATGGCAGGCAATGGCTGAAGAAAAATTCAAACTCTGTGTAAATGCATACAAGACATTATGCAATGCTCTCTCCCCATCTTAGGTGGCCATATGGCTTGTTACAGCTTCCAAATCAATGGTGTACGATTAAGTTCAATTTTTTGTTTGTATTTAATTCACATGTAGGTCAAATTTGCAATTAAAAGTAGTCATGATTTACAATTTTAAATGTTACGCAAGTGCTCTCTCTAACAGCAAGGGAAGTGAAGGATCGTTGAGTCAGAAAATATTTATAAAAAAAAGGGAAAAATTATTGAATTACTGCTTCACTTCTTGTAATAATCATTAGTTTTGATTTATTTTTTTTTAAGCGTAATTACGACAGACCAAATTAGGCATCTCGTGCAGACTTGTGTAATAGAATGTAATGCAATGTAACAGTTGTGTATGATTTTTGTTTTTGTTTTTTTTGTTCTAATTGGTTTTATCAATTGTAGTGACATTACTCCCTCGTATTCTTTTTACATGATACATTTTATTAAATTATACAAATTAATAAAAATAATTAAATTAGTTGATTTTTTTATTTTTAAATTAGTTGATTCTCATGGGCCAAAAGTATTTTATAGAAATTATATAGTGCTTTATAAATGATCATTTAAGCTTTCTAGAAGGTTAAAGCAGTATTTTATAATTTCATGTCTCTTAATTTTTAACGCATTCAATATCAAACAGAATTTATACGTTATGACCTGTGATATTCCAACACATTTATCAAACGTTATTTTCAATCTTTCAGAAAATGAATGGTGAAGTCATCCGTAGCTTTTATAGAAAAGTAATCTTTTTCATCACTTCAAAGCCAAGAGCTCAAACAGAAGAACTGGCTAAAAGAAACAGAAAGATGCCCTCTGGAGGGTCATACTACAAAATCCATTGATTGTTTTCGTAGCACTCGTTTGTCGAAAAAATAAGTACAAAAAAGCTATTTTTTTGTGATGATTCGAGGCAAAGGAGAAAACGCAAGACGTTCTTGAGTAAGTGAAAGAAGCCATTCCTGATTCCAAGCTTTAGAATCTTGAGCAAAGTGTATTCCTATAGTTATTGTGCTGTGACATGGAAAGTCTAAAGAATTCATACTTTAGGTCAAAAAGCACAACAATATGGCTATGTTATTTGGGAGCCGTTTATATGTAAGCTATGTATACCTACACCAATTCAAACCACTAGTTTCACCCATAGAAGCTGATTATCCATGCCAACTAATTAGATTCGCTATTTTCGCCCCTCCTTTTGACAAAATATCATCTCAGGTCTCACTTTCCAGGATGCAATCCTGTCAAACACTAGCATGCTCATTTGTTTTAAATTAAAAATAATTTTTTTAATCAATAACTATAATTAAAATAAGTTACAAACTTGACATTGAAACATGTGCATAATAAAAAAAAAAAGACTCTGACGTAAATCAGCCCTAGGATACTTTATAGGCTACAGTAGGTTTTTTGACTGGCTTTGACAATGTGGCCCTTTCTTAGAAAATGACTGTCAAGGAAGAAAAAGGGTTTGCACAGAAGGAAATGAAGGAATGACGAGAGATTGGTGTGAGAATGGATTGAATTTGAGAATTGACAGTGAAGTGGAAATGAATTACATGATACAAATTATACATCTATACTAAAAACAAACGTTGGTCTATGAATCTTATTAATAAACTAGCTATATGCATAATTTAAAAACAGAGGAGAACAACCGATGAAGAGATCATGAAGGCATAGATCAAGATCAAGAAGCCAAAATGAAGAGCCCAATTTCTCTTGAACTTACCGAAATAGCTCTCAGGTGGTTCCTGGTAGTGAATCTCGAACTCCTCATCGCCAATCCCATCGAACTCACCCACTTCAGCGTTGAATCTCATCTTCATCTCCCTGAGCTTCTCGGTAGCCAAGCCGAGAGTGAGCTTGTGGCAACGGCGCTGGTACTTGAAGCCGTTGATGCATCTGAGGGTCTGAGCGACTGAGACGTAGAAGATGAGGTGGGCCATGGAGAGGAGTGTGATGGGGATCCAACAATGGCGGCATTGGAGACGTTGTGACTGGGCTTGGGCCAGGAAGACCAGACCCAAGAAGATGAAGAATATCTGGAAGAGCTTGTGAAGCTCCTTCTTTTGGAGGTCTATGGCGCGCTTCTTCTCCAGGGTCTTCTCGAAATGCAGCTGAATGATGGTGTTCAGGGCTTGGAATGCTGACTCCTTCGACACTGCTTGTTGTTGTTGTTGATGGTGGTGGTGCTGCTGGTGATGGTGATGGTGATGGTTATGGTGATGCTGGGTTTCGTAGTCTGCCATGGATGGAAGCACTCAGAAAGCCCCGTCTCTGTCGCAAGAAGAACGTTGGGGAAGTTTATTGCTATCAAATCCAAGAGGTTCAAAACTAGTCATAGAGGAGTAACTAGAGTTGGTTAGAGTAACAGTACTCTTAGTAACTTAGGTTGGTAAATTATGTTAGCCATCATCAAAGTATAATAGAATGATATTTAATCTATTTTATTTTATAGCATTTTATGTAATATCAGATAGTAATGATTTGAAAACGAAAGTAGGTTTAGCCAGTGAGAATTCTATTCATCTTCTGTAAAAATACGAGTTTAAATTTGACTCTCAGTATGTGATCTGTGAGTATTAATTTGACGACCCGAGTATGTAGTTTAGTTAAATAGTTTTTGAACCATCAAATTAAATATTTAAAATGTTTTTTATAAGTTAGATATTATTTTTTAAAAATATAAAAATAATACGGTATTAACTTTTAATAGTATAAATGATAAAATTATATAACTCATTAGCTTAAGTGAGGAAAGAGATAAAATAAAAAGTACGACAGACAGAGAAGAGGAAAGAGTGCAGACAATGTGAGGGAAATTTCTATAAATTAAAGAATGTTACTGAGTCATGAATAGTAAAATGGAAGTGGTGGCGATCTCGATACGTTATACATTCAAATTAAAATATCGAACGGTGAAAGCAGAACAGTGAGCAGTGAGGGCACTCTTTTTAAAGTTGAAACGCTTTGGCAGTGAATGAGTTGTTGTGGCACTTGGCATCAAGATGCCATTGCTGTCTTTTGTATAATACAAGCATTTAATTCAGCATGCTTTTGTTTCCATTCGCATTCAGTGCATAAACAACAGGCAAATCTAATTTTTATGAAGCAATTATGAAGTGATCGATGGCTATACACTTGGTATTAATCTTCCCAGATTCATCTAATTCACTTCACATCAGTCATGTCCATGCTTAGTTGGATGAATTGTTACTCGGACCAAGCAGGACATTGCCAGCTATTCCTCCTTTCTCATGTTACGTGTCATTTTAATATTTTTATTTTTTCAAAATACGTTATTTTAAAATTTTTAACTATTATTTTTTTAACAATACGTTATTCTTAAGTATTTTACTTAAATATTTAAATATTATTGATATATTTATCTATTTTAATGAGAATATATTTAAAAATTATTATAACAATTTATATAAATTTTAAATATATATAATTAATATTTTAAAAATGTGTATTACTTTAAAATATATATACATATATAAGAATGATCAAATTATATTAACATAATTAAAAAATATATTATTGAATAATTTTATATTAAAGATATTTTAAATTAATCACTAAATTAAAAAATTTATTACATAAATTACGTTTATAAAATTTATGATTTATTATTAAAAAACACAAGTATGTTTTCACTTGTATTTGAAGAAAATAATAAAAATATATGTCCTCTCTTTTTTTTTCTTAAGTTTCTTAAAAAATATTTTATTCAAATACATAGTAAAAGAATTTATGAGTTTTAAAATTTTTAATGTCAAATTATCAGTAAAAATTTCATAAATTACACAATAATTGGAATAACGGAATTAAATATAAACTAAAATAAAATAACTTTTATCATTCACCTTAAATACAAGAATGATTAGGCATAATTCATAAGTGACATTACTGTCACTGAAATGACAGCTGACCCGTCTTAATTGTAGGAGTGTTAGGTCAGTGACAACACATCATGGAGTCAGCATTCTTTGCAAGTTGGGATTCGTGGAAATTCGAAGATTGCTAGAATAAATTATGAAATTTTTTAAAATTTTAAAATTTATTAATATATTTTAAAATTTTAATCAACACCTACATATTATAAATTATTGACTCATTATATATAAAATAATTTCATTAAAAATGTAAAAATATAGTTGATCCAATAATTTTTAAGTACTGGTTAATAAGATTATAATTTAAATACTACATTAATAAATGTTGGCAGACAATAACTGGAGGATGAAAGAGAAGCAGAGGGAGAGCTGATAGAGTGTCATAGTCCCTTTTTTAACTTCTTGAAGTTAGTTGCAAAGTACTAAAGTTGATGCTCATCACTACCCAAGATTCAGATTTCAGAAGTCTCTGCCACGATGCTTCTTTCTTTAAATTTTGAAAAATGCTATTGTTATGTTTATTTTTTTATTTCCTCTTGAAAAGCTCTTTTAGTTTTATTTGTTTTTTTCAATTTAATTATGTCCTCAACGTTTGACTGGTGTTAATTAGTTAATTACATAAAAAGAAAAAGAAAAGGATGGTCCACAAAAGGGGGACCAAGGCAAAATGGGCAATGGCTTGGAAGATGAAAATGATGATGGAAGTGTCACCCAGTCCCCTCCATAAATATTATTATTATTATTTGTGTGTAACTTTTAAGAATTATCTTTTGTACTAAATAGCTTTGTTGCTTTATAGCATGCAACTATTCTGAATAATGTGGAGAATAAATCATGCACATGTTTAAATTAAAGATTAATAATTGATCAAAATAAATTTACTAATGAATATTTATAAAAAAATTAAATCTAATTAAATGAAATATTTTTTGTAAATTAAAATCAACTCATATACTTTACCTTTTTTTTTAAAAATAATTATTTATAAATAAAATAAAGATATAGTTTGATTTTAACATTTAGAAAAAAAAGTTTAGTCATTCTGTCTTTCTAAATCTTGTTTTATAGACATTTACTGAAGAATATATTTAAACTTAACATAATTTTTTCAATAAAATCCATTTTCAATGATAAAATTTTTATTTGACTTCATCGACTAAATATTAGGGAAACAATAAACCCGTCAATATTCAAAAATATATTAAAGAAAATCCTTTTTGTTTAAGTACGACTTTTTCCTTTTTCTTATTTTTTTCAATAGAGGGCAGAAATGCATGGATAGAATTTTTAAAAATTGGATATTTTAAACAAATTATAAGAATATCTTATAATTAATATTTTAAAATATATATATTAACTATACTTTTAAAAGCATACGATAAAGATTTTAGATGGTTTTTAAAATCACAAATTAATTAAATACGTGTTTAATAAATTCTTATTATATAAGAATTTACATTCCATGTTTCAGGATAAAATTACTTTTAAAAAATAATTTTTTCTAAATTTATCAAAATAAATTAAAAAAACTTAAAAATATAAATTATTTCCGTAAGTTATCCGTAATTTTTTTCAAACACAACTTTAATATTCTTACATGACATTTAATCAATTTAGCTTTTAAAGAATAAATGTTATTCAATCAAACACAACTTTCCATAAGCTAACAAATTTTTGCTTAAGTAAAAATGAGAAATTTTGCCTAAATGCATAGTGTAGTTTCCGTGTAAACTGCAGTGAATCCTGATCTGTATTTAGATTAACTAAAAAGATCATTTCAATTATGAAAGTAATTTTTATGTTCACATGTATTAAATGAAAAATAATTTTAAGCTAATATATTTCTTCTAAATTATTTAAAAAGATACTTTTTTTTAAGTAAAATTATAAAATTATTTGTATTAGTTGAATTTATATTTAAAATATTTAATTATTAAAGATAAAATAAAAATATTAAAGTTAGCTAAAATATGTTTTTATATATTTCAATCATAATTTTTAAAATTATATTTACAATAATCATATGAAACGATAATTTTCTTATGAGAAAATTATAAAATAGACAACAACTATTGTATTAATGGAAATGATGAAACAAGTACAAGTCTTGATAAACTAAAATAGAATTGAAATCTTAACAGCAAGAAACAATAACGAAATAATAATAAGACAGGAATAACAAAGAGTTTGCCAATAGCTGCAACATTTACAGAACCTGAATCATAAGAGAATAGAATAAGGAAATCAAAAAGGTCAAAGGAAGAATCAGAAAGGACGGAGAAAGAGAATTCAGAGAGTCACATACCAAACGTATAATGAGCTCACTACACAAAATTCTTCAATAAAACATTCTCTTTCCTTTGCCTTATGCTTTTCCTTCGGCCCACCAATTATGGTTCACACTCCACGTGACTTTTCTGTGTAACCAACTTTCCCTCATTATCTACCTCGGTATTAGTTTATGCACATGTTACAATAGTTTCCTCATCAAAAGCAATTGTGTCCTCAAGGTTGAATTCTGAAAATGATTATTGAATCTCTTGAACATCCTCCCATGTAGTTACAGAAAGTCCCAAGGAATCCCATTGGATTAGGATTTGAGAAACTGGTTTGGAATGACACATGACAGTGCAGGAATTCAAAACTTGAAATGGTTATACCGAAAGACCAAACTTAGTAGTAGTAAAGGGCAATGATATATACTGCTATGAAGGACTCCCAACGAATTTCTTGAGTAAGGATATGTGGAACACAGTGTGAATTTGAGTTGTATATGGTAACTTGAGTTTGTATGCCACGTCTCTAATTTTTGCTACCACCTCAAAAGATCCAAAGTAATGCATGCTCAGCTTTTGAATCTTTCGTAAAGCCACCAAATATTGCCTATAAGGTTGCAACTTCACAAGTACCAACTCTCAGTGCCTTTTATCTGCTTGATTTTTCATGTATTGTTGTACTTTAAGTAAGTTTCACTTCAATTGTTGTAACAGAGCATCACGGTCACGAAGCAATTCTTGGACTAAAACATGATCAGTTACATTTGTTTCATAACACGACACCAAAGGAGGATCTTTGCCATACAAAGCCTTGAATGGAAACATTCCAATGCTTTGGTAAAGTCCATTCCAATGCTTTGGTAAAGTGAAAAATTACTAATATTGTGCCTAAGGCAACATTAAGCACCAGCTTTTCGAATTTTCAAACACAAAATATTAAAGATACATCTCTAGAGTATTGTTCAAATTTTCAGTTTGGCCATCCGATTGTCAATGATACGAAGAACTCATGGCCAATATAGTCCCTTGAGTTCTGAACAATTGCTTCCAAAAAGAGCTAATAAAAATCCTATCACGATCTTACTAGCTTATTCTGCTTTCAACGG